GCTTGTCACTTGCATTTATATACTTTTATATATTTGTATATAATTTATCAATTTGATAATTTCACTGTTTTGAATATTTGATCCCGTTACGTTGTTTCAGTAAAATACAAGCATTCACAGTACTGGAAACCAACTTAATGACGTGACGTCGTAAATGACGTCACGTTGTATAATTATTTGGGGCCCTTTTTATTTAGTACTAGGTTAAAATGTCTTTTTAAACGTTTCTAAATTTGCATATTATAAAAAGAAAATTTGTTACCTCGTGAACACCAAAAGTTCATATTTCACTCGTGGCTGCGCCACTCGTGAAATATACCTTTTGGTGCTCATTCGGTGAAATATATTCCGATCATGACGTCACGTCCGGCATAACAAGTTTAAGTTTAAATTGACGCTCCGGAAAAAAATCAACAAATTATTTATTAATTCAAGTGAAAAAATACTTTTCGTCATAAATTATATATTTTTGGAAAGCGCAGAAGAATACAAGTCTGAAGATGTAAATATCGATGTTATCGAGCGGATTTTTACAGAAAATTCAGAAGTCAGAAAATTGAACAAAGAACGAATATGAATTCGATGAAGATTTTATTAATAGCTCTTCTTTGTACGTGCGTTCAACATGATTCGGTTAACCAGAAAATCACAACGGGTCAAAGGTTGACAGATTTTGATGTAGAAGCGGCGGATTCTTATTTATATGGTAATTTGATCACAAATAAACAATTAACTTTGAGCAGAAAAATCACTGTAGAAGAAAATGCAGAAAAAGTTTTATTTGCTAATTATCAGTTTACAAGCGAAAGCATCTCTTATTATCATCAAATTTTATATCATTATATTCATACAAGGCGAACTTTTACTTCGGTCAATTTAGCAGCTACGGTGAAGATTCTTTTAGCGCTGGCAGGTGATATCGCGCTAAATCCAGGACCTATCCACAACCCGTGCACATCATGCAAACGGGCAATTGCACGGACACATCGATCAGTTACGTGCGACAAATGTGCGTCTAGATGGCACATTAAGTGTGCTAGGGTGGAACCGACATTATATTCAACATTACAACGTTCCTCAATTAATTGGTCGTGTTTTCATTGTGAGGGTTTCTGCTTTTCGGACTCGTTCTTCGAAGACGAATTTGTTCAGGATGAAAACACAGCACAGACAGTTATTAACGAAACATCACAGACGGCGCCCGAGGATAATGTATTCAAGTGCTTCAGTAACAAAGGTCTACATTTTATTCATTTAAACGTAAGATCCATAATTCCGAAAATGTCCGAACTGAAAACAATAGCTAATAACTGCAATGCAGCAATTTTTTCGATATCAGAAACTTGGTTGGACTCTAGTGTGTATGATGGTGAAATTGACATTCAAAATTATACTGTACTAAGAAATGATCGCAATAGAAATGGAGGTGGGGTATGTATGTACATTAGAAATGATATTTCTTTTAATGTAAGATATGATTTGTCAAACAACACAAATGAATGTATATTTGTTGAGATACTTTTGCCCCGGAATAAACCTATTATTGTTGGAACATTATATAGACCCCCTAAACAAACCGATTTCAATAAGTTTCTAGAATCAATTTTATCTAAACTTTCTTTCGAAAATGAAATATATATACTTGGAGATATGAATATATGCTTTTTTGATAACAAATCTGTTATATTCAGAGAATACTGCAGCATTTTGAGTTTATACAATCTTCAGCAAATTATAAAATCAGCGACACGAATTAGTTCTACGGGTTCTAGTCTTATAGATCACATTCTTTGCAATTATAAAGAACGAGTGTCTCAGTCTGGGGTTATCCCTCTTGGGTTAAGTGACCATTTTATGACTTTTTGTACAAGAAAGATTGTTAAGAATCCAGTTAATTGTCATAGATATGTTAATATACGATCGCTTAAAAATTACTCTAAAGAAAATTGGATCGCGGAGTTGACTCAAACAGACTGGAGTTCTTGCTTTTATTCTTTAAATGTTAATAACGCATGGAATAATTTTCAGAAAATTTTCACTGATTTATTAGATAAGATTGCTCCATTTAAGGAAATTAGACTTAAAAATCAAACTGAACCTTGGATAGATTCAAATATTCTAGATCTGATACATAGGCGAGAGAAAGCATATGCAAGGTATAGAAAAAGTCGTAATAATTCTGACAAGATTTTGTTCAATAAACTTCGCAATGAAGTACAACGATCTATAAAATTGGCAAAATCTGAATACTTCAAAGGGCAAATATTTGATAATAATAACGACAATAAGAAACTATGGCAGAATATCAAATCCCTTGGGTACAGTAACAATAAAAAAGAAAGTCCGAATATTGTTTTGTCGATTGATGGTGAAACTTATCACGATCCTTGTAGAGTTGCAAGTCATTTTAATAACTTCTTTACAAATATTGCATCTAATTTAGTACAGAAACTCCCGGCAGCAAAGAACTTTTATAGTGTGGCATCCGATACAATTAAGAATTTTTATAGGAACATATCACAAAAAGAGTTTCACCTTCATCATGTAAGTGAGGAGTTTGTATATAAAGAATTATGTAGTCTTAATATAAGCAAAAGCACTGGATTAGATGGTATCCCTGCAAAATTTCTTAAAGATGGTGCTGATGTGTTAAAAATCCCTATAACTTATATTGTGAATTCTTCAATAACAGAGGGGGTTGTCCCAGATGATATGAAAATTGCTAAAGTAAAACCTCTACACAAAAAGAATAGTAAGCTAGATGTCGGGAATTACAGACCAGTTAGTATTTTATGTATTGTATCCAAGATTCTAGAACGGGCCGTGTATGTACAATTTGAGTCATTTTTAAGAACTAATAATCTAATTTACGAACACCAGTCCGGGTTTCGGAAATCTCATTCAACTGACACATGTCTTATTTACCTACTTGACTATATCCGTACAAATAGCTCCAAAGGGTTACTCACTGGTATGGTTATGATGGACTTACAAAAAGCTTTTGATACCGTCAATCATGATATTTTGTGTGATAAATTAGATATATTAGGTGTCAAATCTATTTCTTGGTTTAAATCATACTTGTCAGGTAGGTATCAGAAAGTAAGTATTGGTAAAGTTTTTTCTGACTCAATTCCTATTACGTGTGGGGTCCCTCAGGGCAGTATTTTGGGTCCTCTTCTATTTCTCTGCTACGTTAATGACATGGTAACAAGTATCGATTCTGATTGCAAGTTAATTTTATATGCAGATGATAGCACAATATTATTTTCGCATAAGGATCCAAAAATTATAGCCCAAAAACTTGGAAAGGTATTGGAACGATGCTCAGATTGGTTAGTTGATAATAAATTATCTCTACACCTGGGCAAGACTGAATGTATGCTATTTGGTTCTAAATCGAAAATTAATAAATTACAAAATTTTTCCATTTCATGTAATGATCAAACAATAAAGTCTTCGTCTGAAGTTAAATATCTTGGTTTGAATATCGATTGTTACCTATCAGGAGATAAAATTGTCAAGAGCATTCTTTCAAAGGTGAATGGAAGATTACATTTTCTATACCGTTACAAAAATTGTTTATCGGAAGAAATAAAGAAACAGTTATGTCCTGCCCTTTTGCTGTGTCACTTTGATTATTCTTCATCTTCTTGGTACGAAGGACTGAGTAAGTCACTGAAGCGCAAACTTCAAGTAGCTCAAAATAAGGTTGTGCGCTTTATAAAAGACTACACTCCTAGGACTTCAGTGACAAATAAGGTTCTGTCCGATCTTAAATTATTAAATGTCAATGATAGAGTTAGACAGTTAAGACTCAACCACATTCATAAAGTTTATTACAACAAAAGCCCTTCTTATTTAAAGGAATTGTTTAAGGTTTGTAGAATATCCAATTTAAGATCCAGTAATTTTAATTTTGTTTTACCTCAAAATGATTCTTATGTTAAAAATACATTTTTCTACAATGCCATTAAAGACTGGAATTCTTTACCAGACAACATTAGATCAATTGACAATATCCAAACATTTAAAACGAAAGTAAAACTTTTTTTAAGTAATGAAAATGATAAACAAGTGAATAATATGTTTATTTATTATTAAATTGATGTGTAACTTATGATAAGGTTTTGAAAATGTGTATGTGTACTTGATATGTTTTAGTTTAAAAGAAATTTATTTCATTTTGTTTGTGTACAATGTACTTGTCTTATTATATTGAAAAATGTGTTTTGATTATTGAAAATTGTCATTAAGTTTAACTTCTTTATAACTCATTTATTATTATGTAAGTCAGTGTAATAATTTTACAGAAAATGGACCCCATTGGAAATAAGCTTTTAGCTTAATGGGCAATCCTAGGGTTACATAGAACATACTTATTAATTAATCTTATAGTTATTTTTGTGCATTTATGTGTGTGTTTTTATATATATGCAAGTTGATATCTGTGATAAAATTGTATGTGTATACATGTATGTCTATTCCCTGAATAAATCGATACGATCTTACACTGAACAAAACAAATATCCTCTATTTAAAGAAATATTTGAATATTCGGAAAATAGTTATATGTTATAAAACAAATCAATGTATAATATGTAAATAAAGACATGTAACAAAAGTATTTTCAAACTTTTGAATTGCTATAGCTAAAAGAAAAAGAAAATAAAGTAGATAGGCCCTATGGTTTCAAGCAGCAATAATTTCTCTTTTAGACTTGTTATTCTTATACATTCTTTAATTTCAACACGGGTTTATATTATTGTAATATAAATCCGTGATTTCAATGACATTAAAATCATAGTTAAGCTAGCTACTGTGAGAATGGATAACAATTAATCAAATGTAGTTAAATTGTCTTTGGCTGCCAGTTTATTTTATTCCAATAATTTGCAAGTATTTTTTAACATTTTGGTCAGATTTATTTTAATTAACTGTTCCTCGCTACAATTAAACCATCAAAGACCGAATTTTCGCGTACTGTATATTCAGCGTGAAGGGAAAGAGGAGGAAGTGTCGGGGCATGCGCAGTGATCCAAAACATTAGATTCGCCATTTTTTGATGATGTGAATAATATTGTCGATTAACTGTGGAAAATGACTACTTTTGCAGAAAGCTTCTGGGTTAGTATATTTAATAATCTTATTGGTTTCCAGAAATACCAGTTTAATGTTATGCACATCTCTAGATCGTCAGATAATCTTATGATAATCTTGCATATTAAATACCCCACCCACTGCGAATTCCAACAGGTTGCACATTATGAATGGGGGGAATACTCATTGCATTACTACTCTTCTTAACATCATTAAATGTCATTCTCTTGCAACTGTTTTATTGCAAGTTGGTTATATAGGCGATGGATTGTCTAATGGATTAATATATATTTTATAGAGATTTTCCAGATCATGCTGATGGAAGTCAGTTTTTGACATAAACTGATATTCAATTTCAAGAAAGATAACCGTTAATTTCATGAATTTTGACATATTTTATGAAAGTAGATTAATTTGTATTGATAATCTGACGACATTTAACATACTTTTTTGTCATTTGAAACAAGTTCGATCCTGGGTAACACCCTTGGGATTTTTTAGAAACTCTGTCAGGGTTTCCCACCTTCATAGAGGTATACTGGTATGAAACCCAGGTAATCATCGCATGTATCAGTGCTATACACTGGGCATGTTAAAGAACCAAGGGATCTATTCAATAAGAGCTAGGGACTGGTTCCCGGATTCCCTTATATCTCATAGCTGTCTCTAGTGTCTGCTGAGCCTGAGGTGAGGACCCTACTGGAAATAAGTCCTTGCACTTTCGTAGGCTATCCTTGACAGCCTGGTCTAAATAAAATCATTATCATCATCATTATGACATCAGCATTAAAGCAGTTGGGAATATCCAAAACCAACCCTCCCCGGTCCTCTGGACATATAAATTCAACTCTGTCCTTGAGTCACCACCATTTCTAATTATGTCTTAAAGTCTCCCTACATGTCTGTTAAGGCCTAAAGAAAAATTGTTTTGTTAGGGTAACATGCTCTCAAGGAATAGGTAGGGTAGGTTGGATTTTTTTTTTTTTTTTCACCAGTATAATTATTGACATTTGCTATTTTGTGCCTCCCGGGTGGCACAAATACATCTCTTCTATGTTTTCAAAAGACATTTTAGGTGTAACAAATTAAACAATCTTAAACTCTCGGCGTTCTGCTGTTTTGTGAAGACCACATGCCGTTTTACAAATATTGACGATGTGATCCGCCATTTTGTAACTAAGAGCGGTGATAAAACCTGTACCGTACCTCAATAATACGGTATTTTCATCGATTTTTTTTTGGACACGAAAAAAACGGTAGGGTCGGCGTATATTATTAGGTAGGGTTGGGTGACCCGAACAAAACAATTTTTTTTTTTTAGGCCTAAGTTAAACAATGATTGGATAGGTCTAAATGTGTGTCTGCAAAAAAGTTTTAACATAGAAGTTTGGATTATTTGAAAACATAGTGTTTTATAGTTAGCACTGTAACAATGCTAAAGGTAGCAAACCTTGATTGTTTACTAGTTCATGTACTGATGATGTAGTAGTAAAAAGTGAATTGTCATTCAAATTGTTTACTAGTAGTAGTAAAAAGTGAATAGTCATTCAAATGAATTTAATCAAATTGTAGTTAGTATGTTGCCATGTACAGAAGTTATTATTTATTTGGTACAAGTCAAATTTGATAAAATTATCAACTTGTTCTTTTGGACAATATTTTGAACAGATAAACAATTAAGGTAACTTTGGCTGTATTATTGCACTTTTTATTCTTATTATACTATTTTAGAAGATAACATATCCACTTGCTTTAATATAACCTTCAGTAAAAGAGAATTTGTTTTTGATTTGGCTAACAAGCAATTGTCAACAAAAAAAATCAAGTCATTCCATTTATTATATTTCAATAAGTACAGTACTGCAAACACAGATACTTCTTTAGCCATTTACTTGAAAACTTTCTTGCTTAAGTTTTATTTGATGCGGGCTTGACTGCAGATGAATTGGTTGTGCTTTCACCAGCAACATCCTCAATTGTCTAATTTTTTACAAAAGAACTAAATTCACCTTGGTGCAATAACGTAATGAATAAGTACTTCTAAATTTAATAGCAGTAATTCAGTTATTGCACTAAGTTGTCGTAATGGAGATCAATCAAATTGTGTGTGACTTTTCCCCATTTTAAAAGCAATTTGATCATGCTGCAATATGAAGAAAAAGGAACAATTACTTTAACTGAACAGATGACCACACCCTTGAAGTCTATTTGTCAATTATACCAAAATATAATTCTAAGACAATTAACTTGCAAATATTGACTAATAAATTGATACAGGATTACCTCCCCTAATGCCTAGTAATGGTTCAAATGTTCAGCCTTATTGTAGACAATGCATTGTTGCTAAGCTTTTTTGTTACCAGAAATTATTCTGCTATGCAACTTGTTTTGCGTACTAGCAGCTTCTTTTTAGTTCTTATATGTGTATTAGACTTTTTAAAGCAAAAATTGACCCATTCACTGGGCATAGCATACATGATGTACAGAAAAATGTACTGAAAAAGACTTGATAGATTGTTGAGTTGAATTATAGTATTATAAACATATTCTTATTTAATTTAAAATAAGAATTTTGTTAATTTGTATTTAATATCCAAGATATAATTGAAATGGTCACTTTAAATTATCTTGATGTATTATAAAATAAAATTAACATTGATATGTGTTCTCCTTTGGTATTTGATTACTTTTTTGTGAGAATTTTTTGTGTAAGTTACATTTTGTAAGACAGTTGATAATAGTATTACAGTTAGGATGACAGACCAACTAGATTCAAATGTCTGGCAAACTGAAATGTTATCATATCAAGTTATATGAATGGCCATATAAAAGTATTTGAAAGTGTTACTGATCAAAGAGATTGGCATAAATAGAAACCCTGAGTCTAATATAATAATTCAAATATGTACAATTTTTTTGGAGTTATTAAATTTAAAATACACCATTTATACTTAGTAAAGTTTTATGCAGTGGAAAAGAGTTTGTAATTGACTTGCAGAAAATACCATATCTAGGAAATTTGAACACTTAACATTTTCCACTAAGTAAGCGGATGACTTCCAACCACTGGCCTCTCACCATTGCTCGAATCCTGCCAGGGACTCTGCATTTTTTTATGTAAGGAAATTATTCAGCTGGTTTACGGAATGATGATTGTTTAACACGGATGCCTGCTTGTGTCTGAATGATCCACAGAGGGGCACCTGAGGTCTTTCTCATATATTCAAATATATCTTGTTAATTTCATTTTATTTCTTCAGTTTTTTTGTAACACATACTGGTCAGACATCTTTGTCTACTAAAGCTTGCATGGATGTACTCTGATTGATATAGAAGAGTTTCATATTTTTAATTCATATGGTACTTTCAATAATAGAATTCATAATACAATGTTTTATTTGTATAGATCATGATTTAGTGGAAAAATATTCTGAAAGGCCCAAGACTGGCAGGAGTGCTCCAGAGTCACTGAGACATTCTAAAAAAAATTTATAAAACATTTTCGTGCCAAGAAGGTCCTTAGCTATGTGCCTAAATGTAAAGTGTGCCTAAATGTAAATTAGGTTTTGGCTACAGTACTGCATTATATTAAAATTCTGAGTTATAAATTCAACTAACTTGTCCCAAAATTATGAAAAAATAGACTTTAAATATACCGATGAAACCCAGATATTTTACTGCAATCCAATTAGGTTATTTTGGAGACATTTTTATACATAAATGATACAAAAAAAATAGGAGACAATGATTGAACTCAATTATAGGAGATTGTTTCTGCTTGATACAACAGAACAGTAGAGAGGGCAATTACTTACGTGTTTGTAAACCACTTGATGTAATGGGAAAACATTGCACTCTCTTGAGGGTTTATATAAATAATACAACCCTGGGCGAATGATGGATACATCTGATTGTGTTTAATTCCTCAGAAAAAAAAGTTTTTGAACTATTGCCAGACCTATTCAGTATTTAGGACCCCCACAGTGTTGTCCAGTTTGAAAAACATTTGCGCACAGTAAAGTTTGTTAGTTTGTGTGCTACTGTACTCTCTATATCTCTATATCTTAATTCAGAAGGTGTATATTTAAATGTTCCGGTAGGAAGGTGATGAGATTCATATTTTATGCATGGATGACAGAGAAAAAATATAAAACTTGGGAGATTTTTTGTGACTGCTTAATAACCTGTAAATGCGTTGTTTTGAGCTATTGTAGACATGAAAATGAATTATGTATGATTATATTTCTTTCAGTTATGTAAGGTTATAAAGTAATCTTATTTCAAGAGAATTAGAAAAAAATTTGTTACAATATATTTAGTGTATTGAGTTAAAGAATACTGTAACTTCTGACAGAGCTGTTGTTTTATACAGTGCTAAATAATTTGTGAATATTGATTATATTATATACAACATAATTAAACAAGCAACATAATGGGATTAAGACATAAAATGAAAGGTCTAAGGAATGGACATAAGAAAGTTTCATTTGAACTACTTATATTGTTGGATGCAAAAAAGGTATATTACTTTCTGTATATATATGTCAAATATGTTATTAGTTAAGTTTAAGCTTGATAATGATGAAATTTTGCAACTGAAGTGAATCACTCTAGACTATAGAGTGGACTTCCTCGAAATAACCAGAACTTGTGTCATATGAAAATTTCATCATGACCCAAGAAAATTGCTCAAACCCATAATGAGGCAGGCATCGTAGCCACTAGGCCACTCCTCCCCTAAGTCAAGTAGATTTGGTGATACAATAAAATATCAATTTTTACTTTGCAGGCTAGTATGTATAGATGTAAGACTGATCACTGTAAGGATCTGAAAGAAATTTTCTTTTCTAAATTTGCAAGATTATTTCTTTAATGTTCTTGTGTCAAAACAAATTCTAATGTTCTTCCAGAATTCTCTTTCTAGAATAAAAAATACATTAATAATAGCATGAAATATTGGTTGAATACAGCAAATCTGTTAATAGAATTTGTGTTGTATGTTTCAGGGAGGGAAGAACAATGGATTTTATGTGTTATATCATAACATGAAACATGGTCAAACATCTACTAAAGATCTTATTGACTTCCTTCGAGAAAGGTTAGTACAGAATTGTTGTTTTCTTAAGGTAAATGTGTTAATTATTTAAGTATACATGTATTTCGTAAATGCAGTTTTATATCCCAAGTGACTAGAACTTTAAATTAGAAAAACATTTGCTACTAAATTGCTAAAATTTCTGAGGAATTTTAATAAGTAATATGAATAATGGTATGTAAATATTTTAACTGGGTCATAGAAACAAAATTAAAACAAAATAGCTCCTTTTAATTTCACATTATACTGTCATATTTGATGTCATTACAAAATGTCAACATTCCTGATGTCAAAATGTAATTCATCAAAGTTATATTTTACTCAGTTAGAGAACCCTTTTCACTTAATAAAAAAAAAAACAGAAAATAATAAACCCAAACTAAAATTTCTGTAAGACATATAATAGAAAGATGTTTGATATTTTATATATATTAACTCCAAATGTTAAACTATAAGGGGGCAGTAATGTAATTGTGTGTCCATGAAAGCAATAAATAAGTGGGTAATTAGAGAGAGTTTAAGATACTTCTCTTCTCATAAAAGTCGTCACTAATTGGCAAACTATTCACTTTTCTGTTTTCATTCACAACAGTGGCTTTGATGAACTGTTTTTATTGCAAAACTGCTTATTTTGAAAAATTCTCTTCTTAACAGTTAACCCCATCACTGGCTGGATTGAATAAGGTTCATTAATTATTGAATTTACTTAATAAGTTGGTATAGAAAGAAGGGGGTGTTGTTCCCATGTCATATGGTCTACAATTTGTATTGAAGTTTGAGAATAGCCTTGGGGTATTACATTTTGTACCTTGCACATTGAAAATACAGTGGTCATTTGTCTAGTTTAAGCTAATTTGACTTTGAGGAGTAAAATTGAAGTTTGAAAAGTTCAAAATACACTTTAAAAAAACAAATGACTCACTGTCTAAAGTGTACAACGCTAATTCTGTCATAGGCCACAAATGTATAATAAGAACATAGAAAATACATTGTACTGATAGTTGAACTTGGAGAAACAATAAAATAAATTAGAAATATCCAAAGTGCAGTAACAATTTTTATTATATAACACAAATATATAATATTATGTAATGTGAAAACAAATATGATTGAAGTCGTTCGGTTTTTACAACTTTGATTAAAGTTCATTGACTCCTGTAAATTAAGGAATATACAGTCTGGTTAGCTCAATGGGCAATGTATTAGTTACACTGTGAATTGGGTGTCCAGACAGTGGAGGTCACTTCTGATGTGATTGATCATGAGATACTTTCTACGGTCATTCTCACTGTACCTCTGCTCTGGCATGTACATAAGTTCACAGTTCCTTGCGAAAGTAAAAGCAATGAATAAGTATTGGTATACAGCTTGACAGCCTGCCAGGGAATGCTGTAGTGGCCAAACTGTGCTCTGGAAAACTAATTGTGGCTTACTGCTGTGATCCAGAGGCTAAACTACCACCAAGTTTAGGACAGCTTTTTCAAAGATGTTGGTTTTCCAAAGTGCACACTTTTGCCAGAAATGAGGCACAAGACGTTTTAAAGTAAAGCTCATAGGTGGCCATATTTCAGTAACAGTATCAATTGTGCTACATCTCTAATTGGACATTTTCAGCTATGTAACAAGTATAGCTGATTGTTGCTTTATTTATTATTTGAAATTTTATCATATTTGATTACACTACAAAGGGAAGGCAAATCCATCTTTGCAGAATTAGCTGTGTAAGGTTAAACTGTTTAAAATCTAGACAAAGATAATTATAATACAGTCAAGGACAGAGAAATAGTAGTTTGTATATGTTTAACCTGGTCAATATATACAATGTACAATAACCTAGACATTATTAATAATATACATACAGTATCTATGTGATAAAACAGGGAGTTTGTGATAACAATGATAATTTTGTTTCTGTCTTGTTTGCAAAACATAGTCATCTAAAAATACATGTAAAAATTACCTATTTATATATACATAAGTCTGATAAATTAATCAAAGTTAATAGAGTAATTGTTTGAAATAGTGTTCATTAGATAGTCATTGAACATATAGATATATTATTAATAGTAGCCAAGTTGTTAACAGGTCAGACTAGTAATTGAAGGATTGCTTGGCCTTCAACCCACGTCACCGACATGATGTTGTCACTTGGACATAATACTTTACACTCATTGCTCAGCTCAGTACGTGTTAATTCCAAGAACAGATTCAAGACTGTGTCTGTAAGCTTATAGCTACTAAAATGAATTCTGTATAAACTGACTATTGCAGTATTAGGGTATTTCAATTGATCCAATTTTGCTCAACGGACGAACAAAAAATGAAAAATATTATTTATGTAATATGCAGTCTTGAAGAGCTTTTATTGCCAGGTTCACTTTTTCTGATCGTTATTTACTAAGGGTGTTAAAAAAATTATTAGCTTTTTGAAGCAGTTTTCCATTAATGATTTTAAATTTTTATCTGTGCTTACATATTTTGCAATGCTATCAAGTGTGAAACAAAATAGTTACAATTTTTTTTATATGAAAATGCTTTTTCTTTAACTTTATGTTGAGAGACAATCATTATTCAGGACTATTATGAAACAGCACAGATGACATTGTTTGTGACACCTACGGTGACATCTTAGTATCATTTTGACTTTACCTGTAGGCTGTATCAAGACAAGGTCAAAAGTGACTAAAAAGATGTCACAACAGATGCCTAGAAATGTGTGTGTGTTAGAGACAATTTTAGTCCATGTTGGCTGATATGTAACATTGTTCTTGTATGATATGTAACATTGTGGTTGTATCTGCCATTTGTATTGACAAGAAGTGCATTTAAAGTAAAATAATCCCCCTCCCTTGAAAATTTGTCTCCCAAAAAGACAAGGATATTGTTTGATTTTGAATTGTCCTAAATCTTCTTAACCCTTTCCCCCATGAGCATAATTATTGTGAAAAATGGCCATTTTCACTGAAAAGCCTCCTCTTACAAGTTCAAACTGCTATGAAACTATGAAAAATGCTTCAATACTAATCAAACTTGGCACAAATGTTGACTGGACCATTGCCTTTGTAACGACATGCTCAGTCTTAAATTTCCTGTTACCATGGCAACGAGGGGACATCTCAAAATTGCCAAAAATCACTATTTTGCCTCGAGTTTTTCCATCAAAATTTATTTCAAAGTGCTGCAACTTCTCAAGGGATTGAGATAGAGTCAAAGGCTTTTCAGCGTTGGTTACACGTTACCTTATGATCGACCTGGGGTCATTTTAAGCCTCTCACAAGTCCAAAATTTTCTTGGCGATGAGGGGGACTCCGCCCCCCTTCAAACCCCCCAAACAGAAGGGGGCACATCCCCCTTCTGGCAACCCCCTGATGTATCTTTTGGATGGGGGGCGGCGCCGAAAAAGTGCTCACTTTTTTTAGCAACATTTCTCAAACGAAAACATGTGTTTTGGGCCCAAATAGGACATTTTTTCACTATTTCAGGCCTAAAAAGGGGGGGGGGGTCGAAAGTGCGTTGTTTCGCGTATATATGAGGTAAAGGGTTAAAGTGTGTGTGTATTTTCATGAAAACTTTGTCCATACACAAAGCAATTTTCGGAAATAAAGACAATTTTCTAGAGTGTTCATGTGTCAAAATAGTGGGCAGCATATGTTTATGTTACTATATAGGATCACATATATAAAGTTGTTTGTATTGATTAGAGATATATTTTATACCATTATACATGTAGCAGATATTTTTTACCATGAATATTTTGAACTTGTGTTTACAATTCAACTGAGACCACTTTTGTCATACAAACTCTTTTGTTTAATTTATCACATTAAACTTGAGGATGATTTACAATTCAAATATTTGATAAATTGTTATTTGTGAGCGTTGAAGGTTAAACATCATCCTCAGTGCTGAAGAGCTAAATTCTACAAAAAGTCAGGTTTGAATAGAAATGAAGAAAACATTGTCTTTAGGTAAATAGACTTAACTTTCTAGATGACTACAAGGCAACCAGCTTGGGGAAAGACACTTTACCTTACTGTTCAGTCTATCCAGGCTCAATCCTTTTGGCTGCTAAATTTAAGAAATTCCTAAAAATAAAAAAATGGAACAGATCAAAATTCAAAGAAAATGTTGTAAATTACCTAAACGTACAGATAACTATGATTTAACCTGCAGAATTTTTTGAAAGGAATTGTTAAGCTTCCAGTTTTAGAACTGCCAGTTACCATTTTAGGGCATATCAAGGTGAACTATAATTTAACCTGCAGAATTTTTTAAAAGCATTTGTTAAGCTTCCAGTTTTAGAACTGCCAGTTACCATTTTAGGGCATATCAAGGTGGAAAATTAGTCAGTCTTTAATAAAGAGCCTGGTCAGACCAAAAAGATGTGTCTGTGCAGTCTTGCCTTGATCTTTACTGCTGGCAAAGGCTAGTCACTTTTGGTTCAAGCACCCAAAAAATTAAGTTTCAACAACATTGATCAATAGCGAGCAACATTTAAATAAATAATGATGACAATGCATTTTGAAATTTTCAGTTGTCAAGTTGAAGAGACATATAGTAAACTATTGACAAAATTGGCGAAAGTTGCTGCTAACAACACACATGTAGGGTAAGTTAGTTATGTTACCTAATAGAATTAGTTAACTTGCAGCTTGTCTTAGTTATTCAATTAAGAAAACTGTTTCAGTGTAACATGAAAACTATGTCACTCTTTATCCCATACCCCAACCATCTTGTTAAAAAGTGCAATTTTACCTGCATACAAATCTTTATTTGTAATTGTGCTTTTTAATTTGCATTTTGATTGATTTTATTTGTTTGTGCTTAGTCAAGAAGAGTTTTTATGCATTCATTCCAAAATTTCCTTTTTACTTTTGTTAGATGATACATTTTTTTATAGTTTGTTTTTCTGAAGGGAAATGGACTGTTTTGGCTTGATTGCACTTATTTTACATGTACATCTTATAATTTATTTACTTCTTCTTAATGGATGACATGATGTTAAGTTCATATTGGATTTAGTGATTGTTTCTATCTATATATATATTTGTTAACCAGGTTTTCAATTTTGAAAATCCTGGTTATTAGATTGGGGTATGGCGGGCGGATGGGCGGGCGGGCGTCAAACGAAATTGTGTCCGCTCTGTAACTCTTTTCAACCCTTTGAAGAATTTTGATGAAACTTCAGACAAATGTTTACCACATCAAGATGACGTGCAGAACGCATGTTCCGCATGGCTGGCTCCAAGGTCAAGGTCACAGTGACATTAACATTGAAAATCCTGTCGCGCTCTGTAACTCTTCAACCCTTTGAAGAATTTTGATGAAACTTCAGACAAAATGTTTTACCACATCAAGATGACGTGCAGAACGCATGTTCCGCATGGCTGGCTCCAAGGTCAAGGTCACAGTGACATTAACATTGAAAATCCTGTCCGCTCGTGTAACTCTTCAACCCTTTGAAGAATTTGATGAAACTTCAGACAAATGTTTACCACATCAAAGATGACGTGCAGAACGCATGTTCCGCATGGCTGGCTCCAAGGTCAAGGTCACAGTGACATTAACATTGAAAATCCTGTCGCTCTGTAACTCTTCAACCCTTTGAAGAATTTTGATGAAACTTCAGACAAATGTTTACCACATCAAAGATGACATGCAGAACGCATGTTCCGCATGGCTGGCTCCAAGGTCAAGGTCACAGCAGAACGCATGTTCCGCATGGCTGGCTCCAAGGTCAAGGTCACAGTGACATTAACATTGAAAATCCTGTCCGCTCTGTAACTCTTCAACCCTTTGAAGAAATTTTGATGAAACTTCAGACAATGTTTACCACATCAACTGAATGACGTGCAGAACGCATGTTCCGCATGGCTGGCTCCAAGGTCAAGGTCACAGTGACATTCAACATTGAAAATCCTGTCCGCTCTGTAACTCTTCAACCTTTGAAAGAATTTTGATGAAACCTTCAAGACAAATGTTTACCACATCAAAGATGACGTGCAGAACGCATGTTCCGCATGGCTGGCTCCAAGGTCAAGGTCAAGCACAGTGCAGAACGCATGTTCCGCATGGCTGGCTCCAAGGTCAAGGTCACAAGTGACATTAAAACATTGAAAATCCTGTTTACATGATTTTAACTTGATTTGGCAGTCAAAGGTCATATCATCTTTGGAGGTAATTTAAAAAAGATATGATATATTATTTCATGTCTACTTTGTAACTTGTCTTTCATTATACAGAATTATCAATATAATTATAGTGAACAAATTCTTCTGTGCTGAACTCGTCCTACATTTTCTCAACGGATTTTTGTTCAAACTTTCACAGAAGCTTTGTCATCAAGCACCTGGCACATATTGTCGGGTTTTTGTGATTGGATAGTTTTTTACCTAAATTATGGCCCTTTGTTTTTTTTCCTTATACATAATATTATAGTGAACACTTCTTCAGTGGCAATTCCTCCTACATTATTCATGTTTTACATTGCACATAGTTACATTGTTTGTTGCTTGTATTTTGTATTTCAAATACAACATATTTATCTACAATGGTGATAATTGAAAACCTGGTTTCATGGCATTGCCATGTTTCTTGTTTAGTTTTTATGTCTGATAAAAGATTATACAGTAAAAATGTCTAGTTGACAGGTTAGGTAGATACACTACTTATTATAGTCTGCTATCCGCCTTGGTTTGTAGGAGATGAGAAATATAGACATATAGAGAGAATGGTGCCAAATAAAAACTTGAAATCAATACCTCCCACAGAACAGGAATCACCTTCAGCTCTTAGGTCAAACTGGTTAATGTATAAATGTACAGTAAAACATGCTATATAGTCCACTCCTTGGAAAGTTTTTGTTTGGCCATTTCATGATTGAAACTTAAAATGATGGTGCCAAGTACTATTGATATTTCTTCCTTTATTAGAGACAGAGACACAAACGTCTCCTGTTCTTTAATTCAAGCTGGTAAATGTTGTATAGTTCACTCCTTTTAAGTTTTATAGCCATTTTATGATTAAAACTTTAATATTGGTGCCAAATGCAACAGATATTTATACCCCCAATAGAGATGGAATCACTTGCAGTTCAATCTGATTAATTTATACAGTTGAACCTGCTGTACAGATCACTTCTTGGAAGTTTTATAGCCACTGAACCATTTTATGATTCAAACTTAAGATAACAGTGTCAAATACTTATATTTAAACATTCAATAAATCACATTAAGCTCTTACTTTAAACAGGTCACTGAATACAGACAGACTTGTTTTATTGAATATCCTTTTAAAATAATTTTATGTCAACTTATAAGTGAATAAGTAATTTATGTGTGGAAGAATGCTCAAAAAATTTAAGATATACAATTTAACCTGTCCATTTCCAATTTAACCTGTCTATGAAATGGACATATACACTATAAGGCAATATAGTTTAAACTTTAACTAAACTGTAAGAAAACAGAATATTTATTATCTATGTATTCATATCTAAAAAAAGTATTGAAGGGGAACTGTAACTGTTACCATAAAACTATGTTCATTTCAAAGCAGATTGATTTTACAGTAAAACTAATTTAATTAGATCAATAAAGAAGTTGAGATAAGTAAATGTTGGTATATAGTAAATGAATGGCCTCTTGTGAAGAAATTGTGCAGTGTCATCTGTCTGGATAAGATTGGAACAAGTCGATAAATGACTTGTAAATGTCTGGCTGATCCTGTATTGTAATCAGTAATTCCGTTGATCTAATAAGCTTCAGTGGTGACCCTTCCCTATATATATGTGACATCAGTTTCAATATATGTGACATTGGTTACATCAGTTTCCTCGGGGAGGGCCATCGATAATGTTTCGAAAATGTCTTATAACTTGTGCTGTAATCTTGTAATCTTATTACTTGTTATAACTTCTATTTCTTGATTGAATTTTCACCCTGATATGCAGAACTTGTATGATAGACTAAATTTACTTTTCCTTTAAATTTGGGACTGACCACTGTTGATTTAAGGGGTTCCAGGATTGTATAAGTGTATAACTAAATTTTAATAGCCAATTAGGTAAGACTTAACATCAGTACAGGTTTTAAAAAAGCTCAACATTCATAATAGACCTTTAATTACCTTGTTGAAAGCAAGAATTATTTAACATCTTTATTTACATATATATTACATGTAACTGGCCAATTTTAGATAGAGAAGGTATATGTACATTGTACTGTTTTAAGAAGGTAAAGATATCTACAGGATCCATATATCTTTTCAGTGGAAAAAAATGATATAAATTCCATTGATGTGTAAAGTATAAATTATCATATTTATTTTCCAGAACTTTTGCACCATTTTGGAATATATTGAAGACCTTGTCAGAGAAGCTGGCCAGTTTACACATGCAGCTTGTGCATACATGGTCTGACCTCATTAAAGACATTGTCAGATATAATGAGGACCAACATAGACGTCATAAAACTGTAAGTTTACAAACATAACAACTAAAAAGAATAAAACTTCTCTTTACAAAGCAGCTCACCTGCAGCTTACCATTTTTGTTTGTTCAAATAAAACTCTAAAATTGTTCAGTACTGAGTATAAATGTTCTCAAGTGCCAAAATTAAGTGATTTAACTCAACCTGAAGGACTTACTGTCCTCAGTAATGATTTATAACTTATCCAAATAAAAAGAAATTTCTCTTACTTATCTACTTATCAGTGACTGGGGAGAAATATGGTGAATATTCCGACATATTTTTACATAATACATGAAATATTTTGACAGGATCGTAAATATGGGTCTTAAATTAAAGATATATATGTGAATTTTTGAATATACTAAGTTTTCTTATTTGATGTCATGCTGCTTTAATACTAACATGTTCCAAACCAATCTAGTTTCATGAAAATATGAGAATATGATGAAATAAAATTGTACAAAGTAGCAGATTTGGTCACTAAAGTTATACTATATACATAGAATATTTTTAGACTGGAATGCAAAGAGGCTAATTGAGTTTGAAATAATCATACTCTGCAACTTAAAGCCCTTTTTTTTGCTTTAATATTCTCCAAATTTGCAATCAATAAACTTTTGTTATGATAAGATTCCAGGTTTATGACATCTAAACAAATACTCAACATTGTTTTGCATTATCCTTTACTTTTAAGCTTAATTTTGGCCTTTTCATTTTCTTTAAAGAATATTTTGTTTCTTTGAAGGTTTAGCAGCATAATGAATATGATTATGAATTTGAATGTTTAGTTTGTCTTAAATAAAAACAAACTAAAAACAGAACATTAAACTTGTCTTAATCTGATTCTCATGACATAGTTTCTTTCAAAATATTTCACTCCCACTTATAACAGTATAATTGGCATCTGAGAGCTCTTGAAAGTATGAAATTACAATACTGCACTTTTCATGTTGTTTCTGTTTTTTAATGCATTTGCAAATTGCATAAAAATTATGCAGATATGTTTAATTTGCTCCGACAGCGGAGAGATAGAATTAGGAAAATTGGCAGTGTTAGATTTGATGGATGAGTCATCGGGTTATCCGTTTATTCTCTGAATTATTCATGTCATCTGTGTTTTCAATCATTTAATGGAAACCAATTATATCCCATGTTTTTTATATTGAAATGCTTCTGGTTAGAGCAGAAAGTTTGAATAATTTTCCTCCAATATAAAGAAAAATGCATGCTTTTTTATAAACATGTAGCTTTTGACTCATCCTTGAAATTTATTGGATGTTGGTTTGTTAGTATGATATTTACGTAATGAGTAAAATACTACATGTATAAAAAAGATTTTGACTTAATTAAGTTTTAAAGAATTTACTTATTTTCTGCTTTTCAATTATAATTGAAACTTTCTTGTGCAGAATTTGTGTAATAAATATGTGCTATCTGTAATTTAGACCTTTTGTTCATTATAGGTGCTGTCATTTTAATATCAAATGCTGAAATTGTGCAACATACAAAATGGCACTGTCTTGATATAAAAAGCTTAATTAGCTTGTCTGTTTTAAAGAAAAAGTTGAGTTATAATAAGAGATTGCTGTGCCATTGTGCAAGAATTTAAATGTAGCTCATTATTCATTAAAAGATAATTTTATAAACATGAAAGTTGGAATACTTGTTTCTCATGAGATGGGGCAGTTGTTAGACAAGGGGCATAATTCTAAAAGCTGTATTTTTCGAGTTATGCTCCTTTTTAATTTAGATTTTTTGTCCAGATATGTTATTTAAAGAGTCAATTACTGGTTATGATAGTCAAAACCTTTTAATACCTTAATAGAAAAGCATTGCACAGACTGCAGTGCTCTTGTGTTTAATTTTTGTTGCAAAGAAAGTTTGATGAATAATTGCAATTAATTAAGCAAAAAAAAGTTTTAAGCTTTATGTTACATAGAATATTTATGAATTTTCTATATATTGTAGATGAAGGAGGGAGAGTCGGGCACATTAGAAGTTGTACAGTCCATACAGACTACAACCACAGCACTACATAGGGTAATTGAATACTAATAAGTCTAATTATCTTCTTTATTTAAATATGTGAAAGTAACATCTTGGCCTTTTATTCTTTTACACAAAAGAGCTGTCCATGTCATAGGTCAGCAAGCACAGTGGTTCTACTTGGGTGTTGCATAAACCGGCATCTGAGGTCTTCATCCACCATGATAGGTGGATTGTGGCCATATGACTTTCATAATGTTGAGATGATAAAAAACCCATAAACAGAAAAAGGAACAAACTATTGCCATCAAAGAAAGAAATGCCAAAAAGATCATAAGTTTTCAACCATCTTTATATATACATTATATATCTAAATTTCAAGATTAAACATTTGTTTATTTTGGTTTTGCTGCAAAGAGATGTTTTGTTTTAGTGATCAGTATACAAATTTTAGTGGAATAACATACATAAGTGTAAACAATGGCTATTTAAAAGTTGATTAATACATGCCTTGTTATTGATGTATATGATATTTAGGCAATATGCTACTGGTTTGTTGTAGCAGATACAAACATTAACTTATTATGTTCCCTTTGTTGTTTTCTAGGCAAAAGAAATATACCACACAAGATGTTTAGAATTAGAAAGATTAAAAAGAGAAAATGCCTCACCAAAAGATATAGAAAAGGTAAACGCTCTGATCTGTTTGAGTTTACATTGGAGATCATTAAATTTTTATATGTTTGAAAAATACGACGCTTAATATGCATGAGTTCTTTTAGTTAATTTATTATTAAATTTTCAACTTAATCATTGTTCTGGATTTTAAATTGGAACAAGAAAAGAATAAAATGGTTTTAAATGAGCTGAGAAAATAAGTAAACTGAAAGTGACATTATGCCCATCCAAGTGTATATAGTGAGTGAATATGTGAATACATGTATATAAATAAGTTTTCATTTTGCAAAAATTCCTTTTGATTTAATATTTATATATTAAAACAATAAATAACGCAAAGATCCTAAAGAAGTTTCTGTAAATATCCATTAGAATTTATGTGTACCGTTCAGTTTATAAAAAGAGTAGGGCAGTCTTTTTATATTTAAGGCAGATTTATAGATTTATCCTAAACATTTATGAATATCACCTGCTGGTCAAACACCATTTTAACAGTCAATCTTTTGAAATATAAAGTCAATTCAGCTCAACTTGACTCTGAAAATATGAGCATAATGTCACTTGAAGTAAAGGAAGTCCAGTGTCTTGTCTTCAGACTTTTTTCCTCCTCTTATAAGAATGATGTTGAATCTTGGAGGACAAGAAAACCTCCATTTCACAGGGTCACACGACTAACCGAAATACCGTAATACCCCCGGAATACTAGATAACAGATATAAGAAAGTCGAAATACCTGTAATTGATCAATAATCCCTTAATTAAATACTTTGTGTCATAATTCTCGTATTAGCCTAATCTTCAGTGTGTACTGTACAGTACGAATAATTTGCCTTTCTTTGGAGTTATTAACAAAGACAAATAACTTGCAGATTGTCGACTGTATCTGCAATTGCAAATTATAACAGTTTTCGTCTTTTCAAATTGTCTGTGAGTCTTTACATGCTACTGTCTGTATAAGTGAGCACAGTATACCTGGATTAAGAGCTTTTTTCTGCATATTGATATATGTCCATGACACCAGCATAACCTGGACCCTTTTTGAGTTAAATTTTTCAAAGTTCAGGAAATTTGACCATTTCTAAGTTATTTTTATATTAAGACATTAGGTACAGAGTATTTGTATTTTAGGCATATGTAGTGTTTTTGTTGAAATTTATTGTAGTTTCTATAGAAAATGTATTGTTACATTATATTATATACATTAAAGTCATAAAATGTTTACATTTTCTATTTCAGTCTGAAACTAAATATAAAAAAGCAAGTAAGTAGAATATTTCATATCAATTATTTATGAGTGCAGGATATTCAGTTGGGATGTTGAGATGTTTCATTCGGTTGACCATTCATTTATTACCTAGCATTGACATCTCATGGCTTTAATACATAAATATACCACAGTTTCAAGAATGCTTCAATATTTCTTAATAATATTGATATACAAACAATTGTAATCAAACGCATAAAAATGCTGAATAAAATTTTTTTTAAATATAAAGAGCTTATTGCAACTTTGGGCATAATTTGTCTTTAAGTTCATTAATCCACTATGACTGTTTGACCTTGAACCTTTGATATAATGTTTTATATAATTGTTATTTACCTATTTACTTACTGATTTTCCCAAATGAATTATCCAAACTTCTATTCTTTAATTTTAAAGGTCAATCATATGGAAAATTTTGTGTTCGTTCAGTCAACAGTACAGAGCTGGATCATATATCTCTTATGTGCATGTCAAGTTGGCTCTATACTAATGGCAAATGGTTTGACAGTTTTGCATTGTTAACCATGAGCCTGCTGGAACTGAATATGGCTAGTCTTTGCCACTTGTATATAAAGAATCAAACTAGTCTGTACATCCATGTTGTCTATCCAGTCTCTATACTGTTGGTTGGTCAAGTTTTGTATTTTGATATTGAAATCCCTTCAACTTGGAATGGGCTGCTCCAAATTCAAAGCAGGGTAAATTCATTATTCAAATTCAACAGGTTAAGGGTTAAAAAGGTTAGTTTATAATGATATATGGGTTTATCACTGTGTTTGTTTAAGTTCATTGCAATGCTGTCCTGTAATCTATTTCCATTTGTAGGATAGCTGCCAAATAAACGTTATTGTCCATGTTCTTGTTGCTTTTAAATTGATTTAATTTTGTTATGTCATTCTTAAACTTTTGGTTGTATGAAATAGTATAAATAAATTAATATTAGATGTTGGCCTACAGTGCCTTTTATTATTAGCAGTTTTCATAAAAAATGTTTTAAATTGATTTTGCAGAGGAAGAATACAAAAATTTAGTAGATAAATATGCTACTATTAGAGAAGATTTTCAAAATAAAATGGTTGATTCTTGTACAGTAAGTAATTTTTCTGTCACATGTATTTCTAAATTCACCATTTTAATAGTGACAATTAAAACAGAGTAGTTAAAGCTGCTGATTTCTTGAGTATTATAATGAAATGTTAGCATGGCTATTCAAAGAATTGGTAAAGCTAGTGTACTCACCCTGGCGTCAGTGTCTCACTTTCGTTAAGTCTTTGCTGTGCGATTTGGTATCTTCAAAACTACTGAGTGTATTGGGTTGAAACTTCACACACTTATTTGAGAGTAGATTAAAGGTCACTGTCCAAGGTCCATTACTCTGTTCTATCTGATGATGGTATACATGCTTAGCTTTTCAGTTAGTAATTACTTTTAAAATCCTAACATCCACATCATTTATCCAGATTGAAAGAATACGGTGATATTTTTAGAAGTCAATTATATGACAATTAGGACAAAATGAATAAAACTTGTAATATAAAGTGACATTACTATTTGTGTGTTATTTTGTTACTTTCAGCATTTCCAAGAGTTGGAAGAAGAACATATATGTCAAATGAAAGATTTTATAGATACCTATGCAAGAGCTATGCAGAATGAGCATGTCCTCTTTGGACAGGTGAGTACAGAATGGGATATGTTTTAAGAGGAAGGGATTTTTAGATCTAAACAAAATGTTTCAGTATAACCCATGTAAGGCCATTATAAATATTGCTTGACAATGGTGTACTTGGGCAGTTTCTCAATATTTATGATAAAAAATATAATTTATATAATCTTGTTAAATCATAATGAAACATAACATTAGAGCAGATTACAACCTTAGCACATGACCAACTTACACCTGCAATATTGAGCGAGGTCATACTTAAAATCAAGGCAGTTTAGGGCAGTTTAACACGACTACTGTTCACTATGTAATTTCAAAATATATTTTGTTACAAATTTCAAAAGTTCGATACTCTATTTTTCACAAGTCACAAAATAAAATGTTGAAAAATATCATGATCATGTGTTACCTGAAGCATTGCCTAAATATGCAATTGATATTATTATATTGAATATACAAGTCAAAAATGATGATGCCCATGTGGTATTGAGTGCTTCTGCTCAATACCAGTGTTTAGATAGATTTATGAACAGTTTGAAATGTTCCATTTGATTTGTTACTCATTGATAAGAGAACAATAGTTGATATTTGTCTATGTGCTTCATGCTCCTATTACGATATCATTTGGCTTCTATTTTGTTATCATCCTGCTTCTATGTTGATACCATTCTGCTCCTGCTCTCCTCTTTTGATATCATTCTGCTTCTATATTGATATCATTCTGCTCCTCTTCTGACATCATTCTGCTCCTATTTTGATATCATTCTGCTCCTATATTGATATCATTCTTCTCCTTTATTGATATAATTCAAATTGGTAACAACATTCAAAACTAGTTAGCAGGTCAACTACATGTGTACAGACATGTTGATACACATGTTTATATTTTTGCAAATGGATTTGGAATTTTATTTCCAGGCACAAGAGGAATTTAGAACTAACTGTGATTCATTAACTGTACAGAAATTGTTAGAAACTTTTATAGATGTTAAATCAACAGGCAAAGAAAAACCAGGTCAGTATTTTGTGGTATTTTCATGAATTATCAGTGGCAATAATGACTTCTTGTGCACATATTTTATGAATTGCTCTTTAAAAATGCTTCTTTTCTACATATCATCCATGACACCGTGACCATTTTAAATTCATTGATTAACTAGTACAGACATTAACATAGTTATTTTGAGAGTAGTTAAAAGTATTTAGCAGTACTAAAAGAGGCAATAGTAAAATATGTAAATAACCATTAATGACTTATAAATATATACTGCTTATACAGCAAACAATTGCTTCTTAATTAAGTATGTATTTAACTATATTTACATTCGCTTCTGCATTCATTTCTGTAATTTACTGTTTAACATGCTGTAAATTCAGAAATTTTCATGAGTGATTAAATTTCAGTATTTTGTAAACTGAAGATTTCACAAAAATAAGTTTTGCTATGTATCCTGTAAATTTAATGGAACTGAAAGTAGAAATGTCAAATGCTTAACCTTGCCGAATTGTCCAAAACAATGATTTTGTAAAAATATTTGATTTTTAGAGAGTGTTGTTAGAACAGAAATAGATGATAAAATTTCTTTTAATTTTCACTATTTGATGGAAGTATGCAAGTTTTCTCTTATATGTGATATACAGTGAGTGATTCAGGATTTATCCCACTAATGAAGCCTAGTACTACATTAGTTCAGATGAACTACATGTTTTGTATAGATATATAAGTGTACTCATACTCATAATTGTGGTTTTGAAACTGTGCTTTACTTGTCATAAATTTCTACACAGCACCCCGTACCTGGGAATTCACAGGTACTTTCTTCATCATAAAAAAGTAGCAGTTGTCAACTTCTCACCCAGATAAATGTTCATCAGTTTTATTTATGATAAATTTATAATTAAGGCTGAAGTGAATAAAAGAAATTATCCTGACAGTGGTTCACTAAAGTATTAACTATACAAAAAGAGAATTTTGTTAAATAATTTCATTTTCGGTTTACTAAATGAGAATATTGGTTTCCTAGCAGTTTACAGGCAGATTATTCTTTTCGACCATCTTCTAGTGGGTGTCTACCAAATTTGTTCAAATAAAAGCCCCTGGTTTAAAATTGGCCTTGGCCCAGGAGCTTGTATACAGGTCCATCCTGGCCCTCTTGTTACTGATTAGGTATCTATCTATGTTACTTCATCAAATCGAGGAGACATTTGTTTTTTTAGGCAATGCAACAATCAATATTACAAATACTGCATGTATATACTAAGTAGAACAGCAATTTATATATTTGGAAGATTTGCAAGTTATTTAAAGTTTAATCAGAGAACATTTGAAAAAAGCAACACCTAGGGAAATCGATTTCGAAGAAAATCAGTACTTTTGAACAATATACTTGCAGACGATATGGAAAAGATAGGAAAATTCTATATCTACGATAAAATCACCTTGACATTGCTTTCATGTCCCAGATTATATTCAAAATGAAAAAGGTCCGTAAAACTGCCATGTATATGCCATAACCAATGGTAACTAGATCTGTTTTCTTGCAAGCAACGAAAAAAGAAAGATTTTCAGTTTGCGTTACACATGGTCATCATAAGTAGCGTGAAAGAAATCATTTGAAACAGAGAAATTATTCTTGAACAAGGATTTGGGTGAGAAGTTGACAATGGTATATGTTATTAAGTATATAAGATTTTCCCCTCTAAGTTTATTGTATATATTGCAGGTCTTCTTACATTTTCATTTAGATATGTTATATTATGTGAGCTGGCTGCTTTTAACTTAAGCATGCTTGTTTTTTTCACAATTATCTTTTAGTTTGAAGTCTTTATTTTAAGTTTATAAATTGACTTATTGCTTTAAAACAATTTGATGACAACCATGATAAATAGGGTAACATCTTTATAGAATATCTCGTTAACTATAATATCAAAACCTCAGTGTGCAAAAACTATAATATGATAATAACAAGGTTAGCTTTTAAAAAAGCTAGAAGCGACTCGCTTCGTAATTTTTTTCAAGGGGTGTGTTTAAATGTAAAAATGACAGTTCTGTTAGCTGAAGAGACTTCAGCGAACATCATAATAAAAGTGAAGTCAACACTGGCCCGGTGCCCGATGGCCAGTGTATATAAGTTCAGGCCAGTGTAAATTTAAGAAAATTTTGTTAATTATTTAGTAGAATAAATTCAAAACTCGAATTCGGGCCAGTAAATTCAAAATCTTAAACTCATTGACTGAAAGTGACATATAAAGTTCTCTCAGTTTAACCAAGATGAGTATGAGTATATATGAAGGTGCATGTAAACAGATTGAATGAAGAACCTATGTCTATGCACATTTACTATATGGCCTGTTGACCTTGACCATTAAATGTTAGATAGGTAGATTTCATAAAGATGTCTCTTTATACAAAATTAAGTTGTAATACATGTATGTTATTTAGTATTGGAATGAGAGGCACAAGTCCTAAAGTAAACACAAGTTGTCAATCAATTCAGCCAGAAAAGCCGGGATCCTATTAAAAAATATAGGGATCCGGAAATTGACCAGTCTAAGAAGATGTTTTTCAGATAAGCCGGGATCCTATTAAAACATATAGGGATCCCGGGAATTGACCAGTTCAAGAATATAGTTTTCAGAAAAGCCGGGATCGTATTAAAATGTAAATAGATCTCACGGATTGGCCAGTTCAAGTATATAGTTTTCAGAAAAGCTGGGATCGTTTTAAAACATATAGGTATCCCGGGATTTGACCAATTCAAGAAAATAGTCTTTGATTTTTCCAATTAATTAGGCATATAATTATAAGTATTGTGATTTCCGCATTTTAAGTTTGTTAATAAATAGCTCTAAATATATCTATATTATAAGTTAAATTAATTTAACGTTCATTATATACAATAAAAAAATTAACGTTTAATGGCCTTTCATTACGACAACAATCAACACAAATATAGTTCATTAGGTTTTTCCTCCATATCTTATACGATCCCGGATCCCGGGCGTTCCGGATCCCGGCCAGTAAATACATACACTAAATACCGGAAAGGATAAAATGACCGGAAAAAAGGAAAAATAAAAAATGCACAGAACCAGATGTACACTTATGTTAATTAACCAAACGAAAACTTACTGCAGAGAAAACAGGTGAAATCGCTAAATCAGAAGTCAGTGTAAATATGATTTATTGAAAAGAATTCATAAAGACAAACATTTTAATCATCATTATATCTTTGCGCTCAAAACAATACTTGCTGATTTTTAAAAATGGCGTGAAAATTGAAGGTTTTTTGACGCTATGTAAGATTAAATTTGATTGGCTAAATAATTTTGGATCCTAGCCCTGATAAATAAATTTTGTAGAAAGCTGGATGCCAAGCTTCGATTAAATTTTTGGATAGCTTCAGAGTTTTAGGTTGTTTCTCAGTAAAATCCTACCGTAATACCGGCTCGCCGTGGCGAGCCGGCACAAGGCAGGTTAAGTACAGTTAAGTGGAGATACAAATAATTACATCAGTAGATAATGAATGCTAGCAACAACAAATAATTTGCCTCCTCCATCTGTATAAAGACTGTCAGTCCACCCTGCTTGTCTGTACAGCCTTGCCAGATTAGAACTTAAAACCACTTGCCCCTCACCTCTGTTGGTTAGAATCCCGATAGGGATTTTGAATTCTTTCATGTGAGGAAGCTATCCAGCTAGCTTACTTAACGTCAGTGGTTCTACTCAGGTACCCATTCATGCCTGAAATAATGCACAGAAGGGCACCTGAGGTCTTCCTCCACCAGTAAATCTGTAACGTGGCCATATGACCTATACTGTGTCAGTGTGACATAAAACCCAATAAAACAAACAAATTGCCAGATTAGATTGCTAGCTGACAAAGTTTCTTTGTCATTGAAATACCTAAAAGTAATAGACAGTTCTAAAGTTAAAGCTCATTGTACAAATTTAGCATGTTATGGTATATTGCTTTGGCTCTGGTATTTGCTTGAAAAGTTTTGCTTTTTAAGGGGGATAAGGAAATTTGATGATTGTTCCTTTTCCACATCTAACTGTATAACTCTGTATTGCATTTTTGAAATCTCATGTTTCTGTCAGGGGTGTTGCCAACAGCTTAGCTTTAGAACACCATATTACCAGAAATGTTAAAAATTTGTTTAGATTTGCTTATCGTAAAATTTTCATATTACCAAAAAGATTTAATTAATATACATATTCATGTCCATGTTTCTAAAAGATGGTCTTTTTAGATTAATTTTATAAAAGCTTCAAATTTTAATGTATGCAGTTGAGCATTTTTATAAGTTACAACTTTTCATTCACAGATGGTTTTAAGTTTTGACTTTTCAGTTGCAAATCAGATGAAAATAGAAACACACTTGTTTACATAGAAACAATTCTATTTTCTATTTTTTTGGTTATATGGTAATTAATTTATTACTATTTTGATAAGAAAATTAATGTATGTTTGAATAATTTGAATTAGGGTAAGTTTGTTGCGTTATTTATTTATTTTTTTGCTTTGATTTGAATCACTTGTTTTATGCAGCTGCATGATTCATCTTTTCTAATTTTGAACAGCCGTGTATAAAGGTGCCCCAATTGTAGATCCAGGTAACACAATAACCACCTAACAGACAGTTTGTGATGTTTCTTCATGTGTGCTAGCACTGTATTCCCCCCCATCCCCATAAATGTTTTTGTCTTCCATGTGTCTCTGTCATTAGATATTTCACCTTTCTTTGGAAAATTTGTAACTTATACTTAAGTTAAGAAAAAAATTGGACCATTACATTACCATTGATGTATTTTGATATTTAGATCCCATTAGCTTAAAGAAGACTTTAAGTATCTCCCAAAAGTCAAGTTAGGCCAAGGCCAAGTGATAGGTTAAGATTTAACCTTACATACAATAGTATTCAACATCTTGTAAAAGTTCAAAGTCACAAAATGGGATTTTATTTTAACATAAGTTGATTGCAACGTAAGGACCATAAATTGTTTTTGTTTCCATATACATGATAGAATTCAATGCATTGTTACAAATATGTACAATTATAGTAATGTCAAATCATTTTGATTCTGTAAACTGTTATGTGTTCACCATTCTTATAGTAAGGGTGTTGTTTTTAAGAACCATTTTGTTTGCACTGAATATATCCTTGTTGAGATTTTGATTTGTCTGTGCCACTAATATTTGGGATCCAGTCCAAGCCTGAAAGGACTCTGTATATTGACTGTGTTTGTTGATTATTTTGACATTAAAATACCTTGCACTCACAATGGATCATTCCAAACACAAAGCTTGAATAATGTAAATGTATCATGTAGATCAGGGTTGTAGCAGACAGGACAATATTTTAACAACCAACCTTCTCTAGTAATGTAGTATGTTATGTTATACTGTTTCACAAAATGTTCATTGCACACCTTTTGTTGTCAGTCATATAATTTCTTCATTAAGCAGAAAATATTATTTATAAAACAAGAGCTTTGTCATAAGTACGCTAATTTGTTCTCTTCCTATATCATCCTATATTAATTACTAGCGGCCATTTTGTCTTGCTTATGCTTCAAGTACAGAGCCAGGTCAGTCGGCACACAGTCATGTCCTCTCTGACGAGGCTTTTTATTGTCACTTGGGTTATTATTGAAACTATCTAAAGCAGTGTATGTCCATTTGACAAATATTGCAGGGTAAATAATGAAATAACTCAATAATGACATATCATTAGAATTCCCTTGAATTAAATGAAGTAATTTCTAAAGTTTGTTGGACATTTAAGATATGTAGATTTTTGGCGTTGAGTTAACAATGAATGTAATTACAGTTATAAAATTATGTTCTCATTATTTTCTTAGATTGTATCAAAGATATTTATAATTTGTGACTCGTTCCCACGTTGATGTTGTTTGTTTTGCATGTGTCACTTAACAATTGATTTATAATTTAATTGTTTTGTTTGACAATTAGTTGGTATATATATACATTGTATGTTAAAATTTTAAAATTGTTTTCCCTACAGTTGTAGTATTTAACTTAAATATTGTTTGAAATATATGGTTTAAACATTTTGTTATTATACTTTGTTGGTTGCTGTGATTTTTGTGTAGCCTGTTACAGAGTAGCGGCAACATAATAATTATTATATGGATCAATTTTCTGTATCATCTGTGTGTCTGTCTGTGCATTAAAAAATTTTGTCACAAAACTTGTCTGGACTACTCCTCAAAAACTACTGGTGCAATTTCATTTGAACTTTACAGAAATGATCAGTAACAAGTCTAGTTGTTCATATTGTCAGCATTTTCCAGTTCTTTTGGTGATGTATGACTCTTTAAAAAAACAAGCTTTTTGGCCAGTTAATGATTTTGTGTCTCATGCTACACAGTAGCTACAACACGCTACAAAGTAAAAATCCTTCCAAAAGAAATAAACGTGAAGCATACAAAGGTGTAGCTGTAATCTATATTTGCATACAACATACAAGATGTATCAAGGTTTAGTTGATGCCGATTTTGATATCTGTAGTAGATCTGTAGAGCAAATTAAGATGATTTGAACATGTGTTTAAACATATTTCTTTTGTCTGTCCCCAAATAGCACTTGGTAACATGTTAAAATCTTACCTTGCACTATATATATGATGTATTAGGTGACTTTGTTGTTTCACTAATTTGACAATTAATTTTGTGGATAGCAAACAAATTTCGCCAAAAAATATGTCATCAGTTTCTGAAAATATTATTTGAAGTGTTACAGTTACGAAGAACATATTAAATAATTGTTGCTCTCCATTGAATACCATCTAATTTAGATAATGACATAGATAAACTGTAAACATTTAAAGGTAGATCTCAAATTGTATCATCATCAGTGTTTAAAAAAGATTGTTTTCATATAAAGATATTGAGGCGTTTGCAAAAATGTTACCTGTGTTTTGTCTTTGGATATTATATTTGTATGATATATACCAAGACTGTTTGCGACCTTGCATGATGGACATTCAAGTGTCTAAGTACCTGAATTAGTAACAATATCTATAGACTTATTCAAAACAGCAGCATAAAATATAACATGTCTGTTATGTGTTTCAGGACCTTTAGAGTTTGTTGAGCCGGATTTATCAAGTTTACCATCGGCGAGACCGATGTCGCCAGATGCCGGTAGTACTGAGAAACGAGACAGCATCAGTGATAGAAGTAAAGCAGGTTTGTGTAGAATACACATAGTTTATCGTTTAAATGCTTATGTACAACTCTAAAATCATTCATTTGATAGTTTTTCAAGAAATTAAAAAACCCTCTTTGCCATATCAAACAAATTATTACAACTTCTATTTCAAAAATTTTTTGTTCAGTTATATTTTACAGTTGTTATTATCCATGATCTAATTTTATATTGAAATTTCACGTTCACGAAAGTTGTCAGATTTGAGTAAATTTGTAATTCTTGTAATATATACATAGTGTATAGATATTTATGAAAGTTTTACTAAAGACTCAGAAAATGTGATGATTTTGGAGTTGAAACCTTTTTTTTTTTTTTTTTCTAAATATATATTAAAAATCACTCTAACTTTTGTTAAATTGCAGTTGTTTGCATTCTGATATTTTTCCAAAATCGTTAGTTTGTCATATTAATAAAGTTCTACACTGGTTTGCCACATTAAGTCTTAGTATAGGACAAATAGTTTGATTAAAATAAGAGCTTTGCCCAGTTTAATCTAGAAAAGAGTGGCAGTTTAGTGGAGGGGAAAGAGCAGCTTTTTTGTGGTGTAGGCACTAACAAATATAATCAAATTGGATAGGGCTTGTTTGTTTGGTTAAAAGAAATTGTTACAAACTTTAAAAGATATATATTTATTTTGCTTTGGTAATTACTTTATAAGAGTAGTTGAATATTTAATGAAATAAGTTGACAAAGCTATTTAATGTAAATGATATATTGATTTTACCTCTAACCTGTTGGAATTGAAAGTGATAAAGCTTTGTCACCAGTATAGAGCCAGGCCAAACTGCACAAATACGCAGTCTGACCAGGCTCTATACTGTTGGCTGGCAAACTGTTCATTTCGTCTCAATATCCTTGAAATTGATCATGTACACTGTACAGTTATAAATAATGGAAGCTTGTCAAGTCCTTTTCAGAAATTGTGCAGATAAAGTTTTAAAGAAACGCCACTGAGGTCCAAAAGCTTAAAAACTTAAAATTTGAATTTCTTATCCGGCTGGGGCACATAAAACAGAAAAACATGCAAAAGATGATAAAGACATGCACTCTAAAATAAATCGAAAATCATATGTTTATGCTATTGTTATCCTGATTCGAGTGAAAAGGATTGCAATGATTTTCAATTTTAAGTCAATTTTTCCCAGTAATTATAGTTATTCTGAAAAAAATGTGGCGAGTGAATGATCTGAAATTTTACACACAAGTTATTTTTCTTTACCTACATCAATGGAACATTAATCTGGAAAAAGTATTTGCTTAGTGGAGTCCCTTTAAGAACACTTCACCTCTATGAACACTAGAGGCCAACAGTGATAAATTCAGCTTGCACAATCGTAAAGTCCAGACCCGGCTATAATATAAGAGGCAATCAAAATCAAAGCACATCAATGTCCTATAAATTTAAGTTTCTAGTCCAAATTTAATCTTATTGCATTACAATAATTAATGAAAATTAAAAAAGCCATATTTGTATGTGATAGGTTATGTGAAATTTGTTACAATATTTTACAGATTCAGCCATATTTACGGGTATGATATATTAAATTTTTGCTTCAACTTATCCCTATATATCTATACATATCTTCTACATGATCTTTACAATAGATACAAGAAATTAACTTGCATCTTAACTTATTTAAACAAAAAGTTTCAGACAAATGATGTTAAAAGACAGTTATTTTTGGCTTTATTATTGAAGATTATTTAAAAAAAACAAAGTGTGTTGATTTTTTTTTTTTTTTTTGTATTTATACAAATAAAGTGCAAGTATTTTTCATCTTGCTTGCGAAGAAATTATTTGTATATTGTAAAATGGCATAATAAAGGATTCATACTACAAAATTTATTAAATTTAAGTTTGGCATCGTTTTCGGTTTTCTGCCTTAATTTACTTAAAAGTGGAAATATATATATTTTATGTTAAATGTTTACATTTATCATCAGATGCAATACGTAAGTCGCCAACCCTCAAAACTCTCCTTCTGTGTTTTAACCATCTTGCAGCTTTGGTATTTTCTAAGCAAAAAAAGAAAATAATAAACAAATAAAACAAACAAAAACCCTTTCAATGTTGTAGTTCTTCCCACAATGATTTTAACAAATTGGTGGTTCAGTATTTCGTGCTTTCTTGTAACGTCTTGGCAAATATTCAACTCTTGTCTAAGAATAACAAGGTCATTTACATGCAGGAAATTTTATGGCTTTTGTAAAAATCTTTAAGTCTTTGCACATTTAAGGTATTAGAAATATTAACTTGAATCAGTCAGGTTTGTAAATGACGAAATTTCTCAACTGCATTGACAAGAGTGTTTTTTATGCTAGAAGAACAACTGTTTTGAACCCCCAAGTTGAGCTCAGGCTCCACAGCTAAATATTTGAGGGGGGGAAAAATAAAAAAATATTATGCACATTGCTTATGGTTAAAATTTTATGCACTATAGTATGGTCAAAGTTGTACCAATTCCGATGCAATAAAGTAAGGTTAATCAGTTATCATTTCATGGGAAGAAATTGAAAATGTTGAGCACTTGCTGACGTAAGTTTTGAAAGTAAAAGCAGTGCGGGGGTAGAGATATGGTTAGAGATGGGGCTCTTCGTATTTAGGAATGTGCATTGCTTATAGTTAGTCATATTAATCTGTTGAATTCCAACAACAATGTTACCAAATGTTTGTCTTAACATAAAAGTATATAAAGAGTTATATGCCCTTGATTTAGAATCCTATGTGAGCTTTTTGGATGTTGTTGAAAAGGGTGATAGAAAGGTGCAGGGAGATGTGTGTAGAAAAATGTGTAAATAGAACTAACTACTAGGGCATGTGAATAAACTGGTCTTGCAAAGTTTGGTCAAAGTTTTGTAATTTTCAAGTTAAGAACATTATTAGATAAAAGAGAGAAAAATTATATTCTGATATATCATTTTCAAGGCTTTTTGTCACTTTTCAATAATATTGATTCTGTCTGCAAGGCTTTTGGAAAAAAAATATCCACTATATGCAGTCTTTTTCATGCGTAAATTCCTGAAAATAAAAAGGATTCCTTTCAAAGTTATAACAGTAATTGGTATTTCCCAGTATATGCATGTAATTGTAATAAAATTTTACCCTCAGTCCTGTATATTATAAAGTAAGGACCTTCCCTTCCTTCAATATTTCTACACTTTAGCACAGATTGTTGTATGAATTATTATTGGCAAAACCAGTTCAAAAATATTTAATTTTTCTCAACGTGTAATACTGTATACACAAATTACCTTTTATATGTAGCTTAGAATCAACATATTTTTCCTGTGTAAATGTTTTACAATAGCGGGCATGGTGATTTCTTTCTAGACTCAAGTGGTAGTGCAAGTCCCGTACCATCCGACCAGCCGGGACCTCTGAGCCGCAGCGTCAAACTACGGGTCTCCCGAACATGTAATTTCTCACACCGTCACATCTGAATCTGGCAAATTCTTTGTTGTGTTTTATTGAACATAATAAATGCATGTTTACTCTTACACATTAGATGTTTCTAAAACACTAATTTTGATTAATTTGAAACTTTTTGGTACAAAAAGACTAAGCTCATTGTCTGCACTGTTAGCTGTCAAGTCAGGACATACTTTAAAATTTTCCTTAAAATGCTGAATTGTCTTGTCAAGATTGAAATATGGATAAGACCATATAAGAAATTAAGGAAGATAAGGTTTAATTATAGTGCAGTGCCCTCCCTTCAATCCATATAATCAACTAAGCTTTCTTTGCTACTTTTTGTACAATTCTTGAAAGAGAAAAGATAATGTATTTTTCCTTGACAATTTTTGAAGCAAACTTTCATTACATTGACAATTTTTAAGCAAACTAAAAGAAAATATGCATATATTTGTGTTCAATAAAAACTGTATCTAGAATCTATGGGCTAAAAGTTATGTGCTTTTCTATAGTTCTACTGGTGAATGGCTGATTAATTAATATACACTGTAATACAGAATGCATGCAAGTCTTAGATATGAGTTTACTATGGTAGAAATACATCTTTTTTTTTACTTTCATTTAGCACATCTGTATTTTATTCAGTTTCATTATTTCTGTTTTATGTGTGTATAGAATGATGCCCTCTAGCTGCACTGTAGAATATATACTCTTGATTTTTGTATTTGTAATCAGGCTTACTTGAATCTGTTATTATATAAAGTATGATTCAGATTCTTTCATAAGACAATTAAGTTGACATCTTGTCAGTTGTCAGGCTATTTAAAGCCTGTTTATAGTGTATGAAAATTGAAGTAAGTCGGAGCAACTATCACAATAGATAAGAAAAAAATAGATATAAGAAGATTGGAATAAACTAAGTCCATTTGTCTGGTCTCGGCTTTAGAGATAATATTTATTTAATTGGTAAGAAGCCAGAAAAATGTGATAGAAACACCTTAGCATTCTATCATATATTCATATAGTATAAACTTTTACTCTTTCATTAGACAAAATAGCATTTTTAGGTAAAGTCTAATAATTTACATATGTTACTAGTGTGGGTGGCGGGTCTGTAAATTGATCTCTGGATATTAAAAGGGGAGGGATTGGCCTAGTTTTCATGTTATCTGCCTCTCAAACCAGTGAATTTGGGTTCAAGCCCTTCTTGGGTAACAGTTCCCTTATATTATACCAGTCCTGTACTGGTTTGGTCTGAAAATGATAAGTAAAAAAAATGCAAGAATTTTTTTTGCTCAGTCAAGATTTAATAAATGTATTTAAATTAAAAGAATCCATGGAAGTAGCTTACATAAGTCGTTGTGTAAATTTAAAATATGACAATGGCTAGACTTGTTTGTTACTAATGATTCAAGGAGATGTTATGAGAAGTTTGTATTGGAAGATTTTTAAACTTCCTGTATTTGGTAATAATGATTGATGTACCCGTTGTCACAGTCTAACCAGACACATCTGATATAAAAAATTTCTGAAACTTGCATTGGTAAGGTCAAAAGGTAAAGTTTGTTTAGAGAAATTCAGTAGGGTACAGGTCATAACTCCTGACCAACACCCCACCCCATAGTCCTTTGTGACTGACATTTTAAACCTTCCTAAGAATAATAAATACCATAGAAGCAGATTAATTAGCACTTAATAGGCACTACCATACTCCAAGGTGGTTGTAGTGTATTGAAAACAATTTGATGTTTTGATTTTAATGCCGGTATTGACAGTTAATTAACATGATAGGTAGGACAAGGGAAGGAAAACAGACTTATCTAATTAAAGATTTTAATTAAAGTCTATACTTATTGAAGAGGATGAGATTTCAATGTCACTCATCTGTCCACATGGCTTAGTTTTATATATGGACATACTGTTAAAATTGATTTAAATGAATAAATGAAGTTGGGAAATTTACATATATAAGCATGTCAGGTGAGAATTTCAAGATTTTCATTGAGCATGTATACATTCTACATTTTATGTCCACATGAGCCTGAAAATAACTTAGTATTAAAAGAGCGAAATAGGAAATGATCCTGAAATTCATGTAAATAATAATGATAGAAAAATATTTATAGTCTACTCGGAAAACAAATTAATCTGAACAATTCAGCTGTAGTTAAGTTTATATCTATGAACAGTACAAACAGTAATGTTAGTCCAAGGCAACCTACCAGGGTGCACATACATGTAGTGTGTTTCCAGACTCGGCTATATGTTCAGCAATTTTAACTTTTTTAATATTGAAACTTTTGTAGAATAACAATGGAGCAAGAGCAAGTTGGTCTTTCATGCTAAATAGCTTGAAGGTTAAGAATATGAATATGACAGTACAATCAAATATGTATGAAACTGTTCTAGAAGTCTACAGTTAAGTTGGAATATTAAAAAAAGCAGATTTGATACAAGAAAGTCTAGTAAATATATTATTTAAGTATACATCATAGTGATACATGTGTAATTTATGTCAATATACAGCTTACAAATACATTGTATAAACAGATGTGACTGTGTGAATTTGCAAATTAAAAATCCCAATTTCCCTCCTTTCTGTTAAGGGTGTTTTCATTTATATTTTGTATATGTTTATATTATGTTGCTGTTGTTTGAGCACTAAATTTGCAGATTTTTTATCGTGAATGCTAGAAAGATATGAGATTAAATCATTTGAGCCATAAAATGTCACTGAATGAAATCCAATGTGCTCAGGTGTGCACAAGCAATCATACAAGATTCTGTTCTGTTACCTGAGTAGTTAAGCATTTTGAGATTAAAATCTGTAAAATGTAAATTGGACTGCTCAAGAATCAAACCTGGACTATCTTATTATGCAAAAAGCCAGATAAAAGGTGTATCTGAATTTTATTATTCAAAAGATTTGCCCACAATTGAATCGGAAGCAACAGTATAGATCCTTATCCTATTGCACAGCCAGCTCTGTACTGAAGGTTAAGGTTAAAAGCCAAAAGTTTTAACAAAGTTCTTCTGACATATCTTATTTATTACTTCCTAATTTTCATCACAGTCGTCTGCTATTTCAGACCTTGTTTTGCAGCATTTCATGAACAATTATGGCTCATTTGATGCAGATTTAACATATGTTAACTTGTTTGTTTGTGTTTTTGTTTACTGCCTATTAATGTTTTAACATTTGGCTTTGCTAACTTGCAATGTATATCTTTAGTTTTTATGAAATATTGCAGCGTCTTTCTTTTGTTGTTGAAATTGATTGCTTTGTTTAATTTTGAAATTAAAGCTTTTTCAAATTAAATGTATGAAATGAATTTTGTTTAATGTTATCATATTGTGTAAAATGACTTGTGATTATTTAATTGAGATGTATAATTGTTAAAATTTTAATATAATTATTCTTAATTCAAACAGTATGTTAAAATTATACACATTCTGAAACTTAATGAAATTATTTACATTTGAAGAGAGAAAAAAAACAGAGAAATTTATGAAGCTCATAAGTTGTAAACAATAAACATTTTTGAAGCACATTAATTTTGTAATATTTTTGTATCATTATGTTTTATTATGTTATTTGCAATGTTTTTACATAGAGGTGAATAAGCCTGACATTTGTGATACTGTTCTTTTAGGGTTTTTAAAGAAGAGAAAAGAAAAGAAGAAGAAGAAAAAAGACAAAGATGATAAAGATTCTGAATCAGTGTAAGTATTTTTCCAAATATAAGCTCCATCTCTTAGGTGGAAAATTGGGTGGGTAGGGGGCAATGGGGGATTTAAAAATTGCTACTGTTGGTGCATCTATGTCATGAAAAGGTCAGTTGACCAATCGAAATGAGTGCCAATAGTCTGATAAGGTGAAAGGGCCATTTTAAACATGTTTGTATTTAGATGAGGCAAGAGTTAATTATATAACGAAAGATATTATAATGTAGGGAACGTTAGGACATTTCAACTTAATATAGCATTCATGTCAAACAAGCATTTGCTGACACTCTGGCTCTTTGTTACTCGCTTAGAAGTTTAGTTTAATTACGTTTTCTTACAACCATTTGGAAATGGAGTCAATGATATGCCAAATTCATGCAGAATTAATAAATTTAGAAAAGTGGTTTTGATGTGTTTTTGAAATAAAGTTTTACTGTATTTATAAAGAGTGGTTTTAAAACATTAATTGTATGAATTTTTTTTTTATCTAAATGGTTTTAATGTGTTTATGAAATAAGGATTAACTGGATTAATGTGAAATAGAATCATATTTGATGCTATGACTATGTTTTCAGTGATACACAAGAAAGTGGTGAAGCATCACAAAATGCTCCAGAAGTTGACGAGGAAGGTTTCAGTATACGACCAACAAGTGCAGATAATATCCTTTCTAATAAACCTAATAAACATGCATTTGAGCCGCGACATGACAAAACCAACATAATGGGTTTGCAACCAGCATGGATGCAGACCAGCCTGCGCATCCGCGCAGTCTGATCAGGATCCATGCTGTTCGCTATCAGTTTCTCTACTTGTAATAGAGTTGGTAAGCCAACAGCATGGATCCTGATCAGACTGCACGGATGCCCAGGTTGGTCTGGATCCATGCTGGTCGCAAACACACTATTTTGGTTTTGTCGTGACGCGGTTCATTTTAATATTGACCAAGCTTGTAACTGTATATAGTGACTTTGAAACCAAATTATTATTTATTACCTTGGCTGAATTTTTTTAATGAACTTATTCGACTTTGATTTCAGAAAAATTTATTGAAAGTTTTTTTTTTTTAATGGCGGCTAGTTTTCAATGGATTTAAGTAGCGTCTTGTGCCTGAATATATTACTCTTTAAGATTGGAGAATAAACACAGTAAAATTGTATTCAGATGTATATATCTGTAAGTGGCTTACACCTGTGTCATATTTTAGTATGAGTACCCACTGTAGGTACAACACATAATTTATGAACAAATTTGTTTGGAGCAAAAAATTAAGGCATTATCTTTCTGTCACATAGCCATTAAAAACAGCTGAATTGTATTTTCCCATTCATCATCATGAAATTATTGACTTGTGAGCCGTTGAATATGAAGAGATATTGACAATTATTGACCAAGACAATATGAGCCGCATCACGACAAAACCAACGTAGTGCGTTTGCGACCAGCATGGATCCAGACCAGTCTGCGCATCCGTGCAGTCTGATCAGGATCCATGCTGTTTGCTTACAAACCCTATTACAAGTAGAGAAACTGATAGTGAACAGCATGGATCCTGATCAGACTGCACAGATGCGCAGGCTGGTCTGGATCCATGCTGGTCACAAACACATTATGTTGGTTTTGTCGTGACGCGGCTCAATTATTGTTGTATAAATTGTTTTGTTGACTACTGTTTGGACCATTGAGATGGTAGCTAGAAATAGATCATATAATAATTGTAAATATCCTTGACTATGTACTAGATAATGGTGATAATAAAAGTTGGTATTCCTCAGATTCAGACTCGGATTCAGGTAAGTCTAATGAAATATAACATTTATTTTTACATATACTTTCATTCTCTCTTTTCATTGACTTATATCTTAGATATTTGGTGTGTTGGCCATGTCCTTGACTGTCTTGGCTGGGGTAAAGGTTAATTGGTCAAGGTCACTGAGGCAAAAAATAGATTTTATTTTTTTTTACCTCATAGTAAATTCATATTTTAGTGATGTCCTACATGTATGATGTCATGTGTATTAATGAAATAGTTCTCTGGAAATTTGTATTTGAAAATCATTGCTAAATATGTTTTGATTGTAATTACAGATTCAGATATTGCGAAAAAGTTAAAAGTTCAAATTAAGCCTTTGAGTCCAACAGGAACTCAGCCGTCTGCAAATGTAGATGATATTAGGACATCAATGGGCATGCTGCGACTCTCACCTACAGTAGGGGTAAGTTATTTATATCTCAATTATTCAGAATTTATTTCTGACTAAGACCAGTTACTCTAGATTTTAAAGAGTTTGACTTTGTTAATTTTGAAATTTTCTGCATGGCCCTTTGTCATACAATCAACCATTGAGAAAAAGGCTGCACACTTCTTGTCAGTTCTTATTAACAGTCCATCTATTTAATCAAGCTGTTGGTGAGAAGCATCAATCTTTCAATCTGTCTCACAAAAATCATGTAGATCTATTATTTTATTTGGAAAAAAGAATGGCATTCTCAAAATGTTTAGCTTTAAAGTTGATCTACAGTGGTTTTGATAGCTTGTTGTTAAATAGGCTGTGATTTTTGACAATTCAGACATGGGATAATAATATGGGCAAAACCTCATAATTATGACACTAGTACATGTTAGTTCCAAAAAGTTGGCAAATGAGCTGAAAGATTTATGTAATAAATAATATTTAAACTAACAAAATATGTTTACAGAGGAAAGGACGAACAACTCCAATAGACAAGAAGATGATGATGAAGAGATCACAGTCTGAGTCAGATACTCTAGAGTATGCTACTTGTCATATTATTTGTAACATTAATTATCACATCCAGTATCTGAAAGATTTTCTTTTATCACGAAATTCTTTGTGAAATGTCATGAGTGAATGAAAGAGATGTGTTTATTATGAGAAATTTATTTATTTCACCAACAGACTAGTTTTACTGAAATGTCCTTTGTTAATCTGGATTATTTGACAATTTTTTTACACATTTTTGGTCATATCCTACTCAGTGGTTGGACTTTTTATTAAATCAGATATTTTCCCTATTTCACCACAGAAAAAAGGTTGTTTCATTGTTAAATGTTGGTTTTGTGCATATTTTATTCTACATTTTAATTATTTGTCTGGCTGTCATTTCAACATGACATAACTAGATATTTATTAAGGATATCTTTTATTCTATAATATTGACTTGTCTTTTTCAGTGTTGTGACAAACAAGTCTAATGTAGATTTATTGAATATAGACATATTTGCATCAAGTGCTTCAACACCAACAGGGGGAGGTTATCAGTTACCGTCGCCCCTTTCACCCATGTCAGATGGTGTGTTCAATAATAGTGATACTAGTGCTATAACCTCATCACCTCTTTCTTTATCTAGTAAGTATTGAATCTTTATCTTGTAAGTATTGAATCTTTATCTTGTAAGTATTAATTCTTTATCTTGTAAGTATTAATTCTTTATCTTGTAAGTATTAATTCTTTATCTTGTAAGTATTAATTCTTTATCTTGTAAGTATTAATTCTTTATCTTGTAAGTATTAAGTCTTTATCTTGTAAGTATTAAGTCTTTAACTAGTTAGTAGTGAATCTGTAAAATCTACAAAATTATTATTGATTATGAATATGATACAGCTCCAATGATGAAGATTCTTTTTTGTGTCCATCTGTACTTGGTCAGAATATGTTCGTAAAAACGGTCTGATTATCATCTTAAATGTCCACAGAGCTTTCTAATATGATCCTATGATCACCTTATGAAAATTAGTTAGCACATGTCTATATATCAATTATCTAAGGATAATTTTTTTAAAAACTTCAGTTACATGCTGATATTAAATAAGGAATTTCATATAATTTGGCTTAAAATTCTGTAGAGAAAGGTGTTCCACATATTCCACATATAAGGCCGATGTTTGTAGCTTGATAGGTTAATGTTAACGGAATATGCATTAAAGGATATATTTTTGTGAACATGTGAGATATAAAAACAGCCCCCAGTAGTTATATTATGAAAACATAACATCAAATGACATAATTGAATGACATAGCCCTAGCAGGCGGAAAGGATCAAACAAGCAATGGTTTCTTTATAGGAAATACAAATAATGAAATGTGGAATAACCAATTTTGATGTATACTTTTATGCATGAATAGTGCTAATGCATCTGTTTGGAACTGCGGGCTTGGGATTTAAATGCATCCTTGTGCTTCTGCAGATGTTAATGCATGAGTATGGTGACTTATACATGCTCAATAGGGTCATCCTTAATGAATTAAATGTAGACTATGTATTTCAATATGTAATGATAACTTTTTTTCAGATACGAGTGACTTGATGAGTCAGACTCAATTATCTGGTAGTGATCAGCCTAGTATGTCACCTAGTCAAAATGTTGTAGAGAATGGTGTAGCCCCGCCCCTGCCACAGAGACCGCCCTCAAGAAATAAAGGTGTTCTACCTCAGGTAAGGGTATTAAAATGTTGTGGAGAATGGTGTAACCCCGCCCCTGCCACAGAGACCGCCCTCTAGAAATAAAGGTGTTCTACCTCAGGTAAGTGTATTAAAATGTTGTAGAGAATGGTGTAGCCCCTTCTCTGCTACAGAGACCGCCCTTTAGAAAAAACAAATATGTGATACCTTTGGTAAGCTTATTTGTAATGTTGTAAAAAATGGTGTAGCCCTGCCAGTGAGGCAACCCTCTAGAAATAAAGGTGTTCTACCTTAGTTAGTGTAAGCTTAATGTTATTTCAATAAAATGTTTAATAATTTGACATACCATCTACATTTTAATATAATTTTGCTAATTATACCCCCACAAACGAAGTTTAGGGGGGGTATATAGGAGTCAGCTTGTCGGTCGGTCCGTCGGTCGGTCGGTCGGTCCGTCGGTCGGTCCACATCATGGTTTCCGGACGATAACTAGAGTTTGGAATGAGGTATTGTAATCAAACTTGGTATATAGCAACCTTATGTGGAAACTCCGGTTGGTATTGCATTTGGACCCCCTGGGGTCAAGGTCAAGGTCACCGTTACTAAAAATAGAAAAATGGTTTCCGAACAATAACGAGAGTTAGGAATGAGATATTGTTATCAAACTTGGCGTATAGCAAGCTTATATGAAGACCTGGGTTGGTATTGCATTTGGGCCCTCTGGAGTCAAGGTCAAGGTCACTGTTACTAAAAATAGAAAAATGGTTTCCGGACAATAACTTGACTTAGGAATGACATATTGTAATCAAACTTGGTGTATAGCAAGCTTATAATGAAGACCTGGGTTGGTATTGCATTTGGACCCCCTGGGGTCAAGGTCAAGGTCACCATTAGGAAAAATAGACAAATGGTTTCCAGACAATAACTAGAGTTAGGAATGAGATATTGTAATCTAATTTGGTGTAAAGGAAGCTTATATGAAGACCTGGGTGGTATTGCATTTGGACCCCCTAGGGTCAAGGTCACCGTTACAGTGTTACTAAAAATAGAAAATGGTTTCAGGACAATAACAAAGAGTTAGGAATGAGAATATTTGTTATCAAACTTGGCGTATAGCAAGCCTATATGAAGACTTTGGTTGGTATTGCATTTGGGCCCCTTTGGGTCAAGGTCAAGGTCACCGTTACGAAAAATGGGTTTTCGGACAATAACTAGAGTTAGGAATGAGATATTGTAATCTTATTTGGTGTATAGGAAGCTGATATGAAGACCTGGGTTGGTATTGCATTTGGACCCCCTAGTTGTAATTGTAACTGATAGGTTTCAATAAAACATTAAATTAATGTTTGTTGAAACTGGTTTGCTTCAGTTTGATTTTGCCTAGTTACTGTGAATGCATTGTTTTATTTTGGAATTTCCTAAAAAGTTTATTGGTACTGCTTTGTTTCAGGTACCTGCTAGACCGTCAGGGAGGAACAGTCCGTTTGGTTTGAACCGCGTAGATTCAGGTAGTGCTATTACCTGGAACACGACATCAATGCCAGTAGGGTCTTCGCGTGGTCCAAGTCCATTGACAATAGGAATGGCAGATGTTGTACCTCTTGCTGTTGCCTTTACTGAAACTATCAACGCATACTTCAAGGGAACAGATGCTACCAAGTAGGTCTATTTCTGGATTACTTTATTACAAATTATGAAAAAATCTTTGACTGTGAAAGTGTCCAATTTAGTATAGGACATGGTTTAAATAATGTAGCTTGTGAAAAGAGGAAGTAGTTCCTAATAGTTTTGGATAATAAGTAAAACAATATTGACTTTGAGTTTTTGAATATGCTACAGTTTTTAATCTGATATGTACATCTTTGAGAGTAGGAAAATTCTATGATATAAATGTTGTTTACTCATTTATTAATGATTCCTGCTTCGCTCAATACTGAGAGCAGCAGACTTGTAATTGTGTGTAGGCTGATACAATTCTTGAGCAAATGGAAATGTCGCAATGGCAATTGATCTGGGACATTGAGTCTGATTCAAAAATCATGTTTGATTACAGAGAAATCGCTTATTACTTGTTATTCATCCAATACAGCCAGTAAGGTAGACTGATCATCGAGATAAAAAAGGCAACTGTGTTGAAATAGGTGTAAAAAAACAGATAAATACACTAATAAATCTGTGAATGTCGACCTATTTCTAGTCATTTTGCAATAAAGTCATAGCAGCTTTTGCCTCATGTTAAGTTGAGAAGATGTTTACCACTGTGATGTCATTATTTTGAAAAAAAAGAAAGTAAATTTAAAAAGAAAATGAACTGGTCTGATAGAAGTTTTCTAAAATTATTGAATGTTGTTTTGAAATATATATTATCTTTATTTATATTTACCTTTTTATCATTTTGCTCAGGTGAAGGTGTTGAAATAAAAATTAAAACAAAACTTTTTTTGTGAGGAATGAAATATTGATTATAATATTAATACAGTTCGTATTTTGGCAAAAATTTATTTGAATGATAAAATTCTGAGAATGCTAACAGGAAATGCTTTTGTCATTGAGAAGAAACTCATACACATTCTCCAGGAGTGTGAGGTGAACAACTTACTTGGGTCTTAAAAACTCTCCCTTGAGACTTGAAAGGAAAAATAAAAGTTACAGGCAGAGAAAAAGATTTAATGATAGAGGTTTTGATTATTCTATGCATTAATACAGACATGAAAATCATTTGAATGAGAATTAAAATTTATAACTTATTAAGCAGAACTTTTATGTAAAATTGTACCATCTATATATTACTACATGCTTTGTTGCTGATACGTTTTGTTTCAGATGTTCGGTGAAAATGACCGGCAATTTGATGATGTCATTTCCTGCGGGAGTCGTTAAGGTTTTTATGGAAAACCCAAATCCTGCAGCTCTTAGTTTTAGACTCAAAAATGGGTCACAATTGGAACAAATTTTGTTAAATAAGCAATTGGTATCAGAGTAAGTAATGAGAGCACGGGTCACACGTGCTAACCCCTAAGTTTTGCATGTGGATACCCCCACACCTCTGTGATTTATGTCGCTTGCAGTTTTTATTGGACTATATGCCAAATGATTTCTTTCTTTGTATTTAGTTACTTGAAGGAAATTGTCAATTGTTGGGGTTTTGTTTTATTAATAAAGGCATGGTGGTTGTGAAATTGATTTTTTGAGGTTTTCAAATTTCTAAAAAAAAATGTTTGATTATAACAGCATGTATTGTACAAGTAACAAATTAAATTGTTTTGGTTTTTTGAGAGTTATTACTTAATATTCATACTTTCATGATGCCATTTTATTGGGATTGGGGGTTTACAAGTATGGTTTTGAGTTGACAGTTTCTCATCATAAAAGTAGTGTCTTGAATAGGGTCTTCACAAAAATGCTGACTGATTCTGCTTAAGCAAAAGATCTAGGTAATATATTTTTGTTACCAGATTTGGATTGTTTAAAAAAAGAATGTTTTTCAAAATTACCACTTGAGAATAAAATGTGAGTGTAAAAATTGCTAATTGGTGTTGAAAGTTTTTGTGGAGACTATTTTGAAGTATTTCTACTTGCTTGTTCTCTTTCAGCAGTCAGTTATTTTTTGTTACACATTTCATTTATTTTGTTATTTTCTTTGTTAATATAAACATATTATTCACAAACACAAATGGCAACAGTAAATGCATAATCTTCTCACTTAATATCTATAAAAAAAAGTTCATTGAACACCTATGCTTTTCAAGGTTATGTTTTACTATATTTGAGCTTGAACATTACTTGGCAAGTTAAACAAACGTATTCCTATAAAGAATGTTATGTCCACAACAAATGTAAGATGACAATAAAAATGAAGTATTGCTGAAATCTATTTCCCTATATTCTCTGCTACTTCTGCAATAGTGCAGGGCCCTTTATTCTCTTTGAGGGAAATGGTTCAGAATAATTAAAGGAAACCAAGTTATTATTTTGTCTGGAAATTTGACCAAACTGTTCTCCTTTAAAAATACAAATGTAACAGTGATGGTAATTAGACACTACCACCAGTACAGAGCCAGGTCGGCATGCACAAATAATGCCGGCTGACCAGGCTCAACACTGTAGGTTGTTGAAATCCCATATGCTGGTAAATTCAAAGCAAGACATTTCCGATCCCAAAATACAAAGGGTTAATGTTCTCCTTAAAGCTTTGAAACAAGGGTCCTGGTAGTGCATTCCTTCTGACTATGCAACCCTGCTGCTTTTGCAGGTGTATGTAACTTTTTTTTAACTTTTGCTGGCTGGCTTATGTAAAATTGAAAATGCCAATTGGAATATGAATTTCATAATGAAACTGTTTTTATAAACTTTCCTCTGAAGTAGAAATGCTGTAAAACTGTGACCTAAATGTTTTTACATGTTAGTCACATTCAGAAGAAAATTATATTTACCTTTGACTAGAGTTTGTAACAATAATACTTGATATTAGTTCTAATTTTAATTATGGGGTCAGAGTTTGATGTCTTATTTTAGTTTGGTAGGCAGAGTTTGAAATCTAATGTCAGCGTGGTAGACAGAGTTTGAAGTGAAATTGACATGTTCAGATTAGCTAGTCAGAGTTTTATTATACTTATAAATGTTAAAACAAGGTTCTCAGAGTAAATATTTTTGTTTTGTTTAAAAGTAAGTCACCCAAATATAGGTATCAAATTCAGCGCAAGATATAAATATTATTTTATAAACATCATTTATAAAGTAAAATGTAAATTATTTATTAGATTTTTTTATTGATTCATGATTTCATACTTGTGTCATTTTTGTATCTCTTGTTCATAGACAACTCTAAATATATATATTGTATTATGATTAAGTTATTGTGACTTTATATATTTTTTTTATTTTTACAGCATGTACCACTCACTTTATTAGACTTTCTATAGCGGTCATGTTTCATTTTGAAAGCATTCATATTGTACACTATTAGTATCCCATTATATTTTAATTTTATCTGAAAAACATGCATGTTTTGTTACAATGATTTTCCATTGGGGATAACCCCATGAAGTTTATAATGACTTATTTATAGACAACTGGCCTTTGTGAAATATACTCCTAAGTTAAATACAAATTTTTATGAAGTAAATTTGTAATTTTTTAATTTCTAAGGAAGAAATTTTGCCATAATTTAAATAATTTGGTAAAAAAGACTTTTGGACAGGTTATATGACCATGTGTAAACAAATTGTTTTTGCCCTAATAACCATTCCACCCAGTGGCCCTTTCGGTTACATATAAACCTAACCAGTCAATTTAAATACTGGGCCCTATAACCTACTGTCAAATATCTTTATAACTATTAATAAAAAATATTATATGGTTTAATATCTTGCCATTTAATATGAAGATTTCTAGATTTAATGAAATGTGCTGATCATTCTATTTTCAAAGTAAATATTGGGTGCATTCTAAGTCCTGAAGATTTTTGACAGAGATATTTTTATCCAGGATATATATATGAGATTATTAGTCCTTGACTGTCAACCAGCAATTTTTTTTTTTTAAAAAAACACAATTCATTTTTTTGGTAAACACATGTTTAATAGATTTTAAATTAAATTGACTGGTTTTGTGATTGTAGGGAATTCTAAGTCAGTCCGATAGATACAGGGGGGGGGGGGGGGGGGGGGGGGGCCGGTTTGTGGTCTAACCATTTGATATGGGCCAACCACCAGTGATCACCCTTAAGAAGTCAGGGAGAAAGAATAAATCAGCGCGCTCTATTTTAAAAAATAGACATACTTAAATATCAGGTAAAATATGGATTTCTTGGATTCCTGTTCATAAAGTTATATTACCCTTAATTTTTGATAGGACATTATGAAATTAATTGACACTTAAAAAAAATTTAGTGTTCAGAAGGAACCATCACTTTTTTTGAAGTTTGCAATATACCATGCGAAAATCTTGAATATACATGTTTAATAAGTTAAATGGATTTAAATTCACTGATTTTCGCTGCAAATTGCCCAGTTTAGAGTAAAAATTTTTAAGAATAAACATAAACATACAAAAAAGCCGTATTCCTTGTTTCAAAGCCATGTTTAATGATTTGATTAAATTAATTAATAGGGCAAGTTGAATGGTTTTGAAACATTGATACCACTTTCTGTTTTGTGAAACGTTTTTGTACAATGTACGTCTTTTATATTCTGATTATTGTATATGTTGTCAGTTGAAGGCCCAGCCAGGTGTTGAAAGTACCCCATTGCCAGTAGTTGTATACTGGAAATGTGAGGATACTTGTACAGACTATAGACTGGATTATAGATTTAATCCGTCAGCTATGACGTCAGGGGCAACATTAAAAAATATCAGTGCGACAGTTATAGTGGATGGAGGGGTGACAAACATGCAAAGTATACCGGAGGGCAACTGGTATGTTCAACTGTTTTTAAATGAAATGCTTAGCTATTATAGTAAGTTATGTATTTGAGAAATTTAGTTGTGACAATTCATGTTTGCCATTTATGTGTTTATTTAACTACCTCAATTGTCTATGCCCTGTCCATTGTCTTAGGGACATTAGATTTCCTTTACACAGCTGTCATGCAGAAAGTCAGAAGTATTGGCTCTACCTTATCAGTTAATCTGTAAAGACACATTTAACCTAATCAATGCAGGTGTGTTTTAAAACCTACCCAAATAAATTTTTATAGTAGATGGTTATTATCCCCCGCCGAAAAATTTCGGCGGAGGATATAGAAATAGTCTCCGTCCGTCCGACCTTCCTTCCGTCCGTCCTTCCGTCCGTCCGTCCTTCCGTCCGACATTTTTGTCCGGAGCATATCTCTAAAAGTATTTGAGTTATCAACTTGAAACTTCATAGGTGGATAGACCTCATTGAGGAGGAGTGCAGTGCACAAGAATGATAACTCTACCTTGCATGTTTTTTGAGTTATTGCCCTTTGTTATTTTTCAAAATTGATTTTTGTCCAGAGCATAACTCCAAAAGCCTATGAGATATTAACATGAAACTTCATAGGTGCATAGATCTCACTCAGGAGGTGTGCAGTGCACAAGAATGATAACTCTACCTTTCATAATTTTTGAGTTATTGCCCTTTGTTATTTTTCATACCTAATTTTTCACCTGAGTGGAGCATAACTCAAAAAGTGTTTGAGATATCAACATGAAATGTCATAGGTGGATAGATCTTATTGAGGAGGAATGTTGTGCGCAAGAATGATAACTCTTCCCTATACAATTTTTGAGTTATTGCCCTTTGTTTTTTTTCATGCTATTTTGTCCAGAGCTTATCTGAAAAAAGTATTTGAGGTATCAACTTGAAACTTCATAGGTGGATGGATCTCATTAAGGAGGAGTGCAGTGCACAAGAATGATAACTCTACCCTGCATAATTTTTGAGTTATTGCCCTTTGTTATTTTTCATTCTATTTTGTCGAGCCTTTATCTCAAAAAGTATTTGAGGTATGAACTTGAAACTTCATAGGTGGATGGATCTCATTGAGGAGGAGTGCAGTGCACAAGAATGATAAACTATACCTTTCATAATTTTTGAGTTATTGCCCTTTGTTATTTTTCATACCTAATTTTTCACCTGAGTTGAGCATAACTCAAAAAAGTTTGAGATATCAACATGAAATGTCATAGGTGGATAGATCTTATTGAGGAGGAATGTTGTGCGCAAGAATGATAACTCTTCCCTATACAATTTTTGAGTTATTGCCCTTTGTTTTTTTTCATGCTATTTTGTCCAGAGCTTATCTGAAAAAGTATTTGAGGTATCAACTTGAAACTTCAAAGATGGATGGATCTCATTGAGGAGGAGTGCAGTGCTTAAGAATGATAACTCTACCCTGCATTATATTTGAGTTATTGCCCTTTGTTATTTTTCAAAATTAATTATTGTCCAGAGCATAACTCAAAAAGCCTTTGAGATATCAAAATGAAACTTCGTAGGTGCATAGATCTCACTC